TCAAGAAGAATTGAAGGATATTTGAGTGGTTTCCAGTTTTCTACTATCAGGAATAAAACTGCTATACATTTTCATGTACAAGTTTTCACGTGAAGGTAAGTTTTCATTTCCCTGGGATAAATACTCAAGAGGACCCTTAGGGAGTCCTACAGTAATTGCATGTTTAATTTATAAGAAACTGCCGGAGTTTTTTCTGCAGTGTGAATCATACATTCTTGACATGCTGTGTGACTATTTCTCTAAGTAATTAGTCTTTAAAGAAACATGACTCTTAACAATGATATAATATTGCGTGGGATACATGTAGCATGATTTATTTAAGCTTTCCCCAAATGCGGAATATTTTGATTGTTTCATATTTCTTTTTCCCTGTGGAAATCACGAATAGACTCCTGCACATGGAGGTGTGGGAAAAGGCTGGCTGGAGCTGGTTCTTACAGTGGCCAGGGGTGAGCAGGCTCTGAAGGACAGATTCGTGGTGACTTGGCTGCACAGGGCCCCGAGGGAGACATCGCAGTGTCCCGTGTTTCATCGTTCAATGAGCAATACAACTGTCACGGGGACAGGAAGGGTTCATGGGAGCACTGACATAAGCGACATCCATTTCCACCTTCATCCGAAGGCTGTCATAATCGGAAATTCCCTTTTAGCTTGCCAGGAGAAAGACTTCACGATGCCACAAATCTTCATGTAGTCAAGTGCCAGGAGAATCAGATGGGCCCTTGGTGAACTTAGAACCAGGAAAAGGGGAGTGAGGTGTCTTTTATGGTCCAGTTGGGGGTGGTCTACAGCCTCCTTCTCATCTTGAGGAGGACAGAAGACAGAGCACAAGGACATCATCCACTGGCTGAGCTGGGTAGGAGGGTTTCAGTGGGCTCTTCCTATAGTACCTCTCTGGATTTCTGCATTTAAAACCTCTTCTGACTGACACCATATTTATTTTGTGAGTTGATGCCCTTCAATCCAGTCCTGTGAGCCTAGTAGCTTTTCTGTCTTTCCATGGAGTTTGTGTCTTTGGTGTCTGATCATTTGAGAGGGTTTTGCAGTTTGACACTCAGTGGGAAGTACAATTTCCTCATTCAGTTGTTGGGGGACATACCATTTTGGCCTCCAAGTACTTACAACTTCCACTACTGTAAATAACGTTCATTGTTACAAATAACTCATACTCTTAGAAACAACCCTATTGGACACGAATCTTGTCATTTTTTATTATTTCTTTAAGGGGAATTTTAGGAGTAGAATCATTGGGTTCAACAGTAAGAACATTCTGGGGGGCTTGGTCATTTATAAATTCATTCCTGGAAAAGAAGTTCATGAGAATACCCCTTTCATTTTATTTTTATCAGTACTGGACGATGTACTTTTAAAAAATGCAATTTTGATAGGTGGAGAGAGGATTTTTTTAATGAGCATGCTATTAACTTTCAGTGAGTTAAACATTAATGTATAAACAGGCTGCCTTCTAAAGCAGAGTCCAGGGGCATCAGTAAGGAAACTGAATTGCTACGTGGGTCATGGTGGACCTCTTCCAGTTGTCAGAAGCACTCATAGTTTTATGGCACGACCACAGGTAGAAAAGATTCCTCTGCCCTTGGCCTTGGCACTCTGTACTGCATATGTAACTTAACGTTCTAGGCTGTACAGTCACATGGACTTTATTTCTTCACTAATTCAACAAACAGCTATTGAGCACCTACTTTCTTTTTTTTTTAATGTCTTTTTTAAAAATTATGTTATGTTAGTCACCATACAGTACATCATTAGTTTTCGATGTAGTGTTCCATGATTCATTGTTTGCATAGAACACCCAGCAGAGCATGTACTTTCAAAACACCATGCTCGTCACCGGAGACACTAGGGTCAGCAAGACATACTCTCTGCTCTCTGGAGTTTACAACCAGGGAGAGAAGACAGACAGATGGTTACAAAGCAGTGCGATCAGCACACACATGGTGCCACACCATGGGAACAGAGAGAACACCCAGGCTACCAGATGGTAAGGGCCAAGGATAACCAGGCCAAGTCTCAAAGGATGGAAGGAGTTCAAATGAACAACCACGGGCTGTCGTCAGGCAAAGGACTGGGTGAAAAGGAATCTCAGAAATTGTGCGATGTACAGACTTGGGCTGTACAGATAATAGTTGAAGCCTCCATGGGAGGGAGGTGGGAGAGCCACGCTCCAGGACCTAGTGTTATATCCTGTTTCTGGGTCTCTGTTTTAGTGGCCACCAAAACCAGTCGGGAAGTCCCACAGTCTCCTCTTCCTGAGTTCCCTCTGCCCACGAATGGCACTGTCACCCAAGCCAGAAACCTGCCAGTCACCGAAGACCCCTGCTCCTTACTCACCTGTGTTAGTCAGTCACCAAGCCCACAAGATTGCCCTTCTCGGGAATTCTCAAATCCTCCCCCTGCTCTTGATCCCCACTGCTACTGGTCTAGTCTCATCCCTTGCTGGAATGCCTCGGCCTCCTGTCTGGCCTCCATCCTTCTTCCAACCCTGTCCCCGTCCCATCCAGCCTCCATTCTGCAGCCAGTGTGTGTGTGTGAGAGAGAGAGAGAGAGAGAGAGAGATTCAGACTTCAGTTGTCTGGCTTCTCCAACCCCCAGGGGAGCTAGCTCTGAGGGCAGACACCCTGGGCTTCCTTATTAACATGTCCCTGACACCTAGCACAGTGCCTGGCATCGACTAGGTGCTCATTAACTATTTACTGTCCCCCCCGCCCCCATCGCCATCCTTGTTCTCCCTTCTCTCCCAAGTCAGAGGCAAAGAGAGATGATTGGATTAGAAGAGAAGATAATTTGTAGTTCACCTTGTGGGTGCCACATAATTTGCTTTGCGTAATGGGACTGCTGCAGGCTCCCGACAGCACCTTCTTAAAGGAACCCCAGGCTACTTTGGGAGCAGCCATAAGCAGTGAAAGATTAATCAGACCAACTAACTAGAGCTAATGAATGAGTTGGAGAATCTAGTGCCCTCTCCAGTTACATAAAGACAACTCAGCTGAATGTCTCCAGAAATCTTTAAAGTGTAAGCAAAATGGTACGGAGAGAAGATGGGAAGATGGAATGTTCTGGACAGAGACCAGGTTGGCCAGAAGCCCATAGAGCCCATACATGGGAGTGATCCTAGAGTTTATATTCCCTCTAGCAGGCCGATCCTGCTTGAAGGTGTCTGGGCCCTCACTGAAATTGCCCTCATTCATACATTCAACAAATATTTATTGGGCATCTCCCATAAGGTAGACACAGTTCTAAGTTCTGAGGATATGCTAGCAAACAATTCAGGCAAAAATCTGCTTTCATGCAGCTTATATTTTAGTATAGAGGAGAGAGAGAATAAATAAGTAAAAAATCTAGTTTGTCAGACTGTGATAAGTGCTATGGAGAAAGATATAGCAGGGCAAGGGGGAGAAGAATTCTGGAGATGAGAGGACTGCTGTACACGATGGTCAGAGACAGCCCTTCCGAGGTGACGTTAGTGCAAACGCGTGGAGCCGCCTTCATGTGGGTATCCAGGAGAGGACATTCCTGACAGAGGAAAAAGCTTGTGACAGAGCCTGGAGGAGCTGCCTTGCACTGACCAGAAAAGCAACTGTGGCTAATTTTGCAGGTGCTGCTCTGGGACTTGCCAGGGCAGGTGGAGGTGACGGAGGTGGCCGCTGTGGCTGAGCCCTGCAGGTGCCTTAGGAGAATCTAATTGGCAACACTCCTATTGGCAAAGGTCTTGGCCCGTGCTCCTTTTTGGGATTTCCCAAGCTCCCTTTCGATGATCTGACATCCCAGTCAAAGTAGGATTTTGGTCTGGTCCTCCCACTGGTCACAGCGGTGACTCTCCTTCTGTGCCCTGTGGGTCAAGCCTGGGTGCCTGGGGGATACTGACACCTGTGAACACAGCTAAAGCAGGCAGAGGGTGAAACTTGTCTTCCTGTGGCTTGCTCCCTGTTATCTTTTTGGGGCTCCCTAGTGCATATCAGACCCCCTTTGGAGTTAAATATCCATATATTTGGGTGGGAGGGTCTAGACGAAGTGGTGGTAATGATTCTGTGAGTTGTACTTTGATAAACACAGAAAGCCAAACCACTAGAGGAAAGAAGGGATCGAATACTGCATTTGAATGATGGGCTAGTCATTGTGCTAAGTTTTTTACACAAACAATCTTACTAAATTTTCATTATTCTGCAATGATACTCTGATATCACTGTCACTATTTTACAGAGGAGAAATGGAAGTCTCAAAGATACTGGCTATTCCCTGCTTACAAAAATATTTATAAATATATAAAATTAGTTTGTAAGCATTTCAAACAAAAGTAAAAAATAGGAAGTGAACGTACCTCATAGTCTCACCTCTTAGAGAAAACAACCATAAGCGGTGAGTTGTATAATCTTCCTTAAGTTTCAAAAGGTACACACAAACGCATACACGCATACCCTTTTTTCTTTTCTAAAGAACCTGGGACCGCAGTATACAGACTGTTCTGAAATTTGCTTTTTTTCTTTTATCTTGGTTATCTTGCCTTGTAGTTGGGTAGTCGTACTAATGAAAGCAAGGCTTTTCTCTAGCACTCTGTGAGGACACAACTAGTTGTGTGACTGCACACAAGTCACTTTCCCTCCGGACTCCAGTTTCCCTTATTTGTAAAACGAGGATTCCGCGATGGAATGCCAATGAGCAGGGCACCTCACCCCCTGCCCGCCTCGTGACTATCTGGGATGGTCTCCAAGGTCCAACCCTGCTTGACTTGGACAGCAGCCGCCGCTTTCAATAAGTCAGATCACAAAGCTGGCTCCAGGGACGCCTCGAAACCCTTGCGAGCAAAGCGTAGCTCAGTCGCTCCTCCCGGAGGCTGAGGCTGACGGAAGTGGCTGGGCAGGGCTAGGGGCGGGACCGGGGCGGGGCCACAGGCGCGCGGCGCGCGTTGCGTGCGGGCTGCTAGGCGGGCCGCGGCGTGACGTGCTTGGCGCCGGCGCCCGGCTCCGCCCCGCGCGGCGAGACCCCACCTCTCCGCCTCTAGCCTGCCGCGGCCGCTCACGGCGCTCGCGCAGCGATGGCGGAGGCTGTGGAGCGCACTGACGAGCTGGTCCGGGAGTATCTGCTCTTCCGCGGCTTTACGCACACGCTGAGGCAGCTGGACGCCGAGATCAAGGCGGACAAGGAGAAAGGGTTCCGGGTGAGGGGCCGGCGGGTGCGGCGCGGGCAGAGGCGGCCCCGAGGGAGACTGGAGCGGGCTCCCCACCAAGCTCTGCCCTCCGGGGCGGGAGCCGCGCTGTCAGTGCGCCCGGGGGGACCGTCTACATCAGCGCGTCTGGCCCTCCCTTGACACATGAGGAACTGAGGTCCTGAGAGGGGACGAGACTTGCCTGAAGTTGCCCAGCGAGTCAGGAGCATCGCTGAGGCTGGAGCCCAGGTGCCCTGACTCCTGGTCCGGGTGTCTGTCCTCCACGCCAGCCTCCGAGCAGGTGCTGGCCGACTGGCCAGGATGAAGATAAGGGTTTTAGGAGATAAGGTTGGGTAGATAGCTAAGTTTGGGCAACAGAAATATGAAAAAGTTAGCTTCCGATAGCATTGGGAGCAAAGGGGTCTGCAGCCCAAAATGTTAGCTGGGTATCTTTTGGTGTTTGTTTAAAATGGCATTGTGGGGGACTTACTGGCAATTTTGTCTCCGCAGTTGAGGAAGACCTTGTACATTTTAGAACGTTATATTTCCCCTGCTCAGACATGATTTTCTGTTTGGAGGTTCTTGGAATGTGTATGTGTGTGATTCGTGTGCTTGCTGAGTCTAACTGGTGTTGACAGGTGAGCTGAGAGAGAGGCAATACTGTGTCCTCCGGTGTGATTTCTCACATGGAGGTGACTTCTTTGGTTGAAAGAAGCTGAGCAGCTACCAGGATTTGGGTCAGTCAGTGCATCTCTTCCTGAGTCTAGGACTCCCGGAATGGTGGAGCTGGGAGAGGGATGATGGAGGTTGTCTCTCTGGTTTTTTGTTTTCAAATCTTAGGCCACTGAGACCAAAGAGTTGAAGTAACATTTTCAAGTTGGTTGCATAAGCCAGACACACTGATCCAAGACCTAGACTCAGGTTCTCCTGCTTTGTACTTTTATGCTTGACATTTCCATGCTTGCTACAGGGTCAAACCACATTTCTAACGTCAGAAAATAACTCAAAAGCTATTATATTACAATGTTTTGTATGTTTTATAGATGGCTAATTAAAAAACAAAACAAAACAAACAAAAAACCTCTAACATCAGAAGCCACAGCAAGAGGAAGAAGCTGTATTAGCTCTGTGAAGTGATGGGAAAATTCCCTCTTGTCCTTCACCACCTTCTCCATCTCATCTTTCTCCACCAGGTGGACAAGATTGTGGACCAGCTGCAGCAGTTAATGCAGGTGTATGACTTGGCTGCCCTTCGGGATTACTGGAGTTACCTGGAACGGCGACTCTTCAGTCGCTTGGAGGATATATATAGACCCACCATCAACAAGCTGAAAACCAGCCTGTTCCGCTTTTATCTTGTCTACACCATCCAGGTGCATGTTCATTCCGGGATTCCTCGGAGAGAGTTCTTTGACCCTGAAATAGATTTCCTTTTTAATTTCTAGGGAGGTCTCTGTGTCCCTGTGGGAAAGAGGGGAACAGTTATAGTGCGAATTATTTTTGACTGTTTTCCTACTTTTTTTCCCTTCTCCTCTGTAGATCAGCTGACCTGTCTTCCTCATTCCTATTTCCTCTCTTGTTTTAAGCACATAAGCCTGGGTGGCGTTTCAAAGAATATAAGTAGCTGGGTTAAAGTTTGAGTAATAAAAATTATAGCTGACCCCGGGGGATAAGTCATTTAGATTGTTTGAAAATCAACTAGGATTCAATTTTTAGGATGGCATTTATCTTCAGGGTTTCAACTTAAACCAGCTTCTTAGAAATTACAAGGAACTTGAGAAAAGTAATATCCCTTATGGCATTTGTAGGTTATATTTGGCCACTTATCTGGTAGGCTGCTATCTAGAGGCTCTCTTTTGTGCAGTAATGACTTATCTTAATTCTGGACTTCTGTCTCGTACCCCTTTCTGCTGCCTCCTCTTTGTCTTGGCAGACAAACAGAAATGACAAAGCTCAAGAGTTCTTTGCAAAGCAGGCCACAGAGCTCCAGAACCAGGCCGAGTGGAAGGATTGGTTTGTCCTGCCCTTCCTGCCATCCCCAGACACCAACCCCACCTTCGCTACCTACTTCTCTCGACAGTGGGCCGATACCTTCATTGTGTCCCTGCACAACTTCCTGAGCGTCCTGTTTCAGTGCATGCATATCCTCCCAGCTGCCTGGGGCTGTGGGCCTGGTCTGCCCAGACAGCGTGATCAGTGGCCGCTGCTCTCAATGCACTGCCCCAGCATCGTTGTCATGTGTTATGTGAGGGGGCTGGACAGACTGTGGTTATTTTTGTCAGCAGGCCAGGAAATCATGAATCTTCATTGTGACGCTGCTGAAGCAGTAGCTGACATGCACGAGTGGGGACAGTAGTAGCAATGAGGTCCAAGTGCCTGGCCCTGCTGGGAGCCCTCAGATAGGGCTGAGCTGGTGCAGCTGCTGCTCTTTGCAACTGGCCAGCCTGGAGAATACCCTGTCCGTGCGTGCCCTGTGCCCCTCAGGATGTTACTTGCCTTGTTGAGATCAGGTAGGAGGTCAGAATACTTCTTGGGCTAGAGCTTCCTTCCTGTGTTCGCGTTTGGGTCACTCTCTGACAGCTGCCTCTGTGTTTCTCAACTTGCCAGAAAACAGAGCAGCTCTCAGACTGTGTGTACGGATAGTTAAGAGAGGGAGAATGTAAATAAATTGTAGCCCACCAGGTTTACCATTTTGTCGTGGAAAGCCTGCATTCTTGAGGCCCAGGATATCCTCCAGGGCTCATGCCCTTTAGGCTGAAATTCTAGAGGAGGAAAAGGGAATCCGGCTTGGAGGTTGCTGCCTGGTGAGTCACTGATAAATTGGGTGTTTATGGGCCCACACACAGGTGACCCATTTCGGCCTCTGGGAGGGACAGCTGGTGGAGGTAGGAAGGGTGCCCCTTCCTTTTGTGCTGTGGGTCTGAGGGTGAATTCCACTTTTGCCAGGCATAAAAGCCCCTCCTCCTCCTTGTCCCCTATTGCTTTTTATCCTGAGGGCTTTCAGGCTAGACTAGCAGGGGGCTCAGCCCAGTGGTGGTTATGACATGACCATACAGGCCCTCTATGGAAATCGGAAATGTCACTGAAGGTCTTTTCAGTGCAAGACAGTGCCCTGCAAACTAGGTCACACACATTTGAGCTACAGTTCACTTCCCCAGGACCAAGACCCTTAGCCTGCTTTGTGCTCCCCTTGACTGAAGCTGTTTAAGGTGGTGCGAAAGATGGACACCCTGACCTAGAATGATATTCATAGCATGGCACGGGACTGTCCAGTCTGCAGAAAGCATTCTCCTCAGTCTACACTTTTACTAGGAAGAGGTACAGACTGGGGAGGGGCAAGCCAAGTGGCTGAGGCTTCTGCCCAGATGGTATACCAGCTGGCCGCTGGGATCACTTCTCACTGTCTGCCCTGACCTTGCTATGGTCTGCACTGGCTGGGAGCCCACTGAGTGTGAGCTCTTTGCTGCTGGTGTTTAAGGAGAAAACACTCAGGTTTAGATTTACGTCCTCTTTGTGGGCTGACCAGCCAGATTGGTGTGAGTGTGAGTCTCTGGAGAAAGGCCAGACCCAGCGTCAAGGGAGAGATTCCACACAGCTGTGGAGAGCCTGCAGGACTAAGTCTGTCCTCTGCTCCCTATAACTCGTGTTCAAGGGTTTTGCTGCTGTGTCAAGAGTTTGGGAAGGGCTTTTAATCATCGCAGGCAGGCTTTTTCTTTAACTTTGGGCACCAGTTCCCGTAATCCTGAACTTCGATGCGGAATGCCAGAGGACCAACCAGGTTCAAGAAGAAAATGAAGTTCTTCGCCAGAAGGTTTGTTCTAAACACGCTTGCTTCTTGGGAAGAACTTCTGCTTTTCGTATGTGAAATTAGGTAGTGGTGGTGGAGGGCTGATTAAAAATAGGAAAGCACTAATCTCAGATGTAAGTGAGTCACCAGAGAGGCAGTATTGGAGATTTGGGGGGCTGTAATAGTCTCTGGAAACAGAGGTCAGGTTCATATTATAAGTCCCGTGTAAAGCATGAATGACATAGCAATGGTAATGAACTTTGAGAGGAAGAAGACTATGTGCTTTCCTGTGTCTCTTTTGTACCCCCAGTCCTGTATGTCCACATCTGTGTTGTTTACAACCCATGCATAGTGTCATTGTTCTGCTCAGCTCTATGAGCCTCTAGTTGGGTAAAACGTTGGAGCTGGGGGACCCACATTCGCCTTTATATTTTGTCGGAGGAGCACTTCTCTGTTGTTGAAATTAAGTCAACTGTAGGTCATATTTTCGGAAAAAGGAAGATTATAAGCTGTTTGCATTTTAGGTGCGTGTGTTTATATAATTTTTTTCAGGCATAAGGTCAAAAATGCTGAACTGTGTTTAAAAAAAAAAAAATTATCCATGAGACTTCCAGAGCCTGATTTTGTAGATTTTCCAAAGAGCAAAACAGGACTGGGTGGAGCTGTTTTTCTCCATGAATTCAGGAAGAAGCAAGTCAAATGATGAAAAGAAAGAAAGTGGGATTTGTGTGTGTGACAGTTGTCGGTGTCTCACTTCAGTATAGTCAAGGAACAGCTGCCCTTGGCCTGGTATCTCACTGGGTGGTGAGCAGAGGGTTGGGCCGGCGCCCTGAGGCCCACGAGGCTGGATGTTGGACGGCTGGGTGTTGGACGTGCTGTGTCTGCTGTTCCTTAGCGGAGGGAAGATGGGGTGAGGTCACCATCTAACTCGCCCGCACCCCCACTCAGCTTTTCGCCCTGCAAGCCGAAATCCACCGCCTGAAGAAAGAGGAGCTGCAGCCAGAGGAGGAAGAGGCCTTGGTCCAGCACCAGTTGCCTCCTTATGTCTCCCACATGGACCGCCTGGGGGACTCGGAGCTGTGAGTGTGCGCCTGCTTGGGTGGGAGGGGCGGGTGGGCGGTCCCCCCCTCTAGTCTGTCCCCTGTCGCCTCACCCTGACCCTCCCCTCCATTCCTGGTGACAGGGAATTGCTGGAGAGCCTCCTTGGCCCTCACTGTTCCTGCCTGAGCTTTCTAAGTAAGCTCCCCCGGCTTTTAAAACCCTCTAGCCTCTGAACCTGCCCCGAGGGAGGGGCCTGCGCACCCAGATGTGCACATCTGGGTAAATAAACACAGACGCTGTCCTAAAGCCTCAGGAAGTGTGTGCGTGTGTGTGTGTGTGTGTGTGTGTGTGTGTGTGCTGAAAGTAGTGCCTTGCGGATGAAAAGGTTGGATGCAGTGTGTGGTGAAAGTGTGCTCCCACCCGAGGCTTTGGAGAGGTAGGCAGGTAGGTGGCTAGCAGCTAGCTTAGAACACAGCCAGTTAGAGCAGAGGCCCCAGCTGATGAGAACAATGGTAGCAGTTGAAGACACCGAGGCTCACAGTGGTCCCACAGCTAACGACCCATGAATCAGGATGCAAAGCCAGGCAGGCAGATTCCAGGCCTACATGAGGCCAGGTGCTGTACTGGGGGAAACTGCGCTGGTGTCTGAGCTAGCCTGGTGCAGTGGAACCCCAGGGCAAGCCAAAAACAGCACATAAAAATTTGTACTTAGGGGTGCCTGGGTGGCTCAGTTGTTAAGCGCCTGCCTGCCACTCAGGTCATGATCCCAGGGTCCTGGGATTGAGCCCCACATTGGGCTCCCTGCTCCATGGGAAACCTATTCTCCCTCTCCTACTCCCCCTGCTTGTGTTTCCTCTCTTGCTGGGTCTCTTTGTTAAATAAATAAAATCTTTTTTTTTTAAAAATTGTACTTACACTCAGTCAAAAGAAACAGGTGCAGTTAATTTTTGGACGTATTTTATTTAGCCCAGTTTGTCCACGATATTGTTTCAGTGTGGGCTGAACAGAAACCAAGGACCCGTGAGCTATTTTGCTCCGCTTTCCTACTGAGGCTTGAATCCCGAGGAGTGTCGTGCTCCTCCAGCACAGGGCCTGTGGGACTGACCGCGTGCCAGGGGCTCAGTGGCACGAGTGGCCAGGTGGCTGTTGGAGCGCATGGCTCTGAACTATACCTCGGCCCTCAGAGTGCGGCGGGCGTCCCCGTCGTGCCAGAGAGGCTGCAGGCTCCCCTGGGTACAGGAGGCGGTCCCAGGGATAGTGCCACCTGAAAGCCAGGCCACGCCCCGGTGCCGTCCAGAGCCCAGGAGGCCTGTGCTTTGGGTCCTCTTGGGTCCCCCTCCAGCCCTGTGACCTTGTGTGTCTGCTGGTCCAGGGCCATGGTGTGCAGCCAGAGGAACACTTCCCTGTCGCAGTCGCCTCGAGTGGGTTTCCTGTCCTCGCTGCTGCCTCAGAGTAAGAAGAGCCCCTCAAGGTTGTCGCCTGCCCAGGGTCCCTCTCAGGCTCCGAGCTCAGCCAGGAAAGAGCCTCTCAGTGGTCAGGTGAGTGCAAGGCCTGCGTTTCTAACTGCCAAGAGGCCCCTGGCTTCCGAGACTGTATTTTCCGACTTTGTTTGTTCTTTTCTTAGGACTGATTTCTCTGGTATGCTGGTGAGATCCTAACTTCACATCTCACTCCCTTTCTTCCTTCCTCCCCGCCTCCTTCACACATGCAGGCAGCGCTGCAGGGCCAGGGCACAGATAAGAGCAGAGTGGAGGTGCTGAGGCAGTGAGGAGGAAATCACCTCGCACAGCCTCTGCCCGCCCGCCCGCCCGCCCCCTTCCCCTCTTCCGGCCGCAGCTGCAGGTGGTGTGGGCACAGTGAGATGGGAGGCTGGTCGGTGCTGCTGACCAAGGGTCGGGCCAGGTCTCAGACCCACGTCTAATCTGGAGGGACCTCTCCCCCAGCCCCCTGCCCTTTACACCGCCCGTACTCCCGTGCCAAGCCTGAAAGCTGTGACAGCCCACAGGGGAGCGGCAGCCTGGCTGTGAGCAGTGTGCTTTGAATCTCTTCCCTTTCCCTCCTAAGCTCCTCTGAACTCATGAGCACTTGTGACTGGGGTGTGGTGGCTTGAGGGTGAATTCAGGCAATTCTGGAATTTTGAATTTTGGGTGATCTAAAACAGTGTGTAGAAAAGGAGTAAGTTAGAGTTACTTCTGAATCAGTGCGTTGCTTTTACAAGCTGGGATTTACTGATTCCGCAAAGGCCTCTCGCTATTTTTCACTTTGATAGCCGCTCGCAAGGGAATTTCTTTTATGCTAGTTCATGTCTAAAACAGCCCTGGGTCCCACTGAGGACTTTGCCTGGCAGAGTTGGTCAGAATTCATGGCTTTCAGCAGTGCCTTCCAGAGTGAAAGTTTAACAGACCCACAGTCATGCTTCCTTGCTTGGCCGAGGATCCTTGCTCTTTTAATGTATTCTTATTCGTTACAGATAAAGGCAGTCGTCATAATCGCGGCCTTCCTCTCCCGCCACCCTTGGCTCGGGAACCGTTACAAGTGACACAGCAGTTTGGAGCTGCTCCCTGCAGCCGGGAAGCGGGGCGTCTGCCCCAGGGCTGGGGGGGCTGTTTTGCTGCTGAAGTGCAGATGCTGAGCAGGGCACTGGGGAGGGAAGAGTGTGGGCTTCAGAGGCAGGTGATGTCCTTTCAGCCGCGGCCCCTTGTTGAGCGTCCTTGCTCAGATGGCTAAAAGTCACCCTGATTTGCTTGAGACGATACAGACACATCTTACCTAGGGGGAGACTTCATGGAACTGGCAGACTGTGCACGCCCAGTACGCTGTAGCAGCGCGGGTGGTCTTAGCAAGGGCACTGGACTTCCTGGGTCCCGGCCTCAGCTTGGAGACCCCAGGTCCCAGCCACGCTAAATGATTCTCACCTGGCATTCAGGAGGCCTGCGGCCATCACAGAGCCATCCTGGTGATGACCATGGCTGGTTTTCTGAATTCCAGTTCTGTGGAATGTGGCTGAGTAAGTTTTGCCATTTGCTCTGGAGATCCCTATCATAGTTCAATATTTTCTAAGTGTAATAGATCATGGATGGGGTGCTCGGGCTCTTGAAAAATGCATGAAATTATGAAATTCAATTTCATTGACTTAAAATCAAAGAAAACCCGAGGATGGGTTCTTTGGGGTTAAGTCCATGGCCTTGTTCTTTATGTGTTCAGGAACTAAGTGTCACATGATGAGATGGGAATGGGATTGGAACTTGTTTGTGTAGTTCATATTCAAGGGATGAGGGTAAGAATGTTGTTCACAGTAAGCAGTCCTTGCCTCTAAATATATTCCAACAGAACTTGGGTCACTGTGTGGTATGTTAACAGAGTGGAGGTAGCTCTCTTTCCATTTCATGAAAAGGGAAATGGAACAATAGATGTCTGTCATCTGAAAAATGGGGTCACTTGCGATTTTATTAATTTGTAGGACTCCACATTGATGTTTCAATTCTGAAAATAACTAGTATATTTGAGGTTCAGGAAATTCAGAACTTTATAGTTGGAGGAAGCTTAAAGATCATTTTGGCCCCCCACTTCTATTTTGTAGAAGAGCACATCCTTTGATTGCCTCCTGTGATGTGGATCTCACTACTTGCTAGTGTGAGGATATTTTCCTGTTAGAAATCTGTTTGTAGAAACCGCTATAATATTGGGGCACCTGGGTGGCTCAGTGGGTTAAACCTCTGCCTTCGGCTCAGGTCATGATCCCAAGGCCCTGGGATCGGGCCCCACATCGGGCTCTCTGCTCAGCAGGGAGCCTGCTATCCCTCTCTCTCTCTGCCTGCCTCTCTGCCTACTTGTGATCTCTGTCTGTCAAATAAATAATAAAAAATAAAAAAAAAAAAGAAACTGCTATAATTTTCACTTGCTGATCTTAGCTTTGCCCTTCGAGCTACATAAAGTAAGGCTTTTTGTTAGGACACTTCCTATCTTTCCATGCTGTGTACTCTCTGTTCATTCTTCCCTCTCCCCTCCACTGGTTTCCCTTATGGCATGATTTCTACACCACTCACCATCCTGCTCTCCCTCCTCTGGGGCACCTTCTAATTTTTTAATTCTTCTGTCACAGTTAACCCACCAAATTTGAGTGTATAATTTGAGATGCTCTCTTACCAATACCAAATGCAGTTAGTTGTATGATTACTTCTTGTGATTTTAATAATACATTGGTTTTAACTTTTTAATGACATTGGCTTTTTAATGAGCCACCTTGCTTTGTTAGTGCCTATGAAGCACAGTCTTTTTTTCCCTTTTGACACAACAGAGCTCTCTTTCTTTATTATTAATGAAGAAACAAAAGAAAAACATAGGCTGTGTTATTACATTAGCAATAAATAAAATAATCAGGCTTTCCTGCTTTAAATATTATTTATATATAACATTGTACATTTCATCACATCTGCATTTTGCCCACTTGTGATGGGTCGTCACAACTGCTGGTCATTGCTCCTGAAACGTTCATGCTATCATACGTGCCACAATATATGCTGGCGCACTCTGGGTTTTATAGGACTCTTGAGGCAAGACTTAAGAAACAAATGGAAGTGACTCGAAAACCACAGCTCCCAAGCTCCTTTGGGATCTCTGTTAGGATAGTGCCTGAGGGCACCTGCGCTGCCCGTGACCCAGCCTGAACTTGCACTCCATCCTTCCTGCCAGCCTTATGATGCCGCTCCTTTCACTCCCACTCAGGAAGCTATAGGGCTGCCGGTTATTATAGAGATAACCTTTAATTGGCTGCAATGTAAGGAAAGCAAACTGCATTTTTAACTCATATCAAAGTACTTCATAGTGGGGCTGCTTCCATGGATTTTAACAGGACGGAGGAAGAGGGAGCCCTCTTCCACAACTTTTGTTCTATGATTTTAAGTGTGACGAGGCCCTGTCTTCTGGTAGCTTTGTTTTACATCAGGCGAGACCAGATTGCTAGAACTTGTTTCCTGCCCCATCTGGATGACTGCCTGGTAAACTCTATTCAGGCCACTGAAAATTAATTTTTCTCTCTCTCTAGAAAGAAAGGCAAAGTGAAATGATAAAACACAGGTTAAAATATTTGTCCTGAACTGTAGGAGACAGGTAGATTACAGTAGAGTATGACAATGTAATTTGGGCCATTTGGAATGTTATGTGAATCTGGTAGTTAAGACTTTTATGAGGTTTGCTTTCAAAACTGTGACTTACCAGTATCACCACAGTAAACATTTATTTGAGTACAGTTGTAGCTAGACACAAGTTTACCTTAACCTACTTACTCAAGTGTTTCGTGGAGAGCTGCTTTCATCAGCATTATCGTTTTTTGTTCTTTTCACTCTTCTTGAGTAATAATGAGACGAGGCTGGAGGAGAAGCTCTCTCTAAGCAGAATCTCATAGGCCACATGGAGGCCCCTGGTTCTCTAGGCATAAACTACCCTCTCATTATCAAGGCAGTTTTTCAGCTCATTGTGGTGCCTTTTGTTAACACCTGTTTGAATTTTCATTTTGGGGGATGGTCCAGCCCTTACCCGAAGACCTACTGGAAACTTCCTTGCCATCTTGACTTGACTTGCCTTTGTCCTTCTTCATGTTGCATTTCCTGTCCTGGCTGGGGAAGTGCTACGAGTGACTTGTGTGTCAGCTAGAGGGATTTCAAGTCCATCCCATGCCTCTTTCTTCCATCACTACGGGCTCATTGATGGACTTAGCACTGAAAAGGGAAGAGACGCCATCTCTCAGGTGTAGCGGGTGGGCAGGGGAAGGAGAGCGTGCCACGGAGTGCCTGTCTGCCCTCTGTGGCATTCCCCACCCTTGGGGCCCAGGCTGGATCCCCCTGTGGTCCACGTACTTCCAGGGCATGAATGTAATATTGTATGGATCCTTTTCCCTTTTCTTCTCCAGTGTCCAGTGTAAAGATCTCTTGCTCAGGCTGATAAATCTATCACAACTGCATTGTAGTTGGTCCAGGCTTTTTGAGACTTCCTCACTTGCCTGGATCCCATTATTTTGGAAAGTGGCTGTCCACCCAGGAAAGTGATCTTCCTTCTCTTCCCCACTGTGCTCATAGCTGGCTGTGGAGTTACCGTAGCCACATTTAATCCGAAAACATAGCCTCTGCTACTGTTGGGTTTTTTTTTCTTTGTTTGTTTTGTCTTTTCTATTAGAATATGAGAGTTTTTAGAGATGTATCTTGGAATTGTTCTTTTTTTTTTCTTTTAGTCCTCTTTTTCTCCTGGTAAAGTTTTTTCATTTTATCTTTTAAAAAGCTGGCCATTAGTTTTATTGCTCATTTATATTGTCCTTTTACTCTCTATTTCATTAACCTTTATTCTGATCTTTATAACTTTGGGCTTCACTTGTTTTTCTTGTTTCTTGAGGAAGTTGTTCATTTGAAATTTTCCCCTTTTCTTGATGGAGGCATTTCCCGGTATGAATTTTCCTCTTTGAACTGCACTTGCTGCATCTTACCAGTTTTGGTGTGCTGTGTTTACGTTTTCATTTGTCTCAGGGTATTTTTTGGTTTCTCTTTCTGATTTCTGCTCTGATCCATTGGTTGTTCAGAAACATGTTGTTTGATCTCCACATACTTGTGAATTTTTAGGTTTTCTTCTTATGATTGAGTTGTAGTTTGATACGATTGTGATGCCTGATATGTTTCCAGTCTTTTCAAGTTTATTAAGCCTTGTTTGGTGGCCCAACATGTGTTCTATCCTGGAAGTATTCCGTGTGCTTGCGAAGAATGTATATTCTGTTGCTTTTGGATGGAATGTTTTGTGTCTGTCTTTTAGGTCCTTCTAGTGTAAAAAGTAGTTCAAGCGCAGTGTTTCCTTATTGACTTTCTGTCTGGATGGTCTCTCCATTGTTCAAAGTGGGGTATTGGAGTCCCTATTAGTGCATTGCTGCCTGTTTCTCCTTGGTATTTGCTGGGTATGTTTAGGTGCTCCTGTGTCAGGTACGTAAATACTTTCAAGTGTCATATCCTCTTACTTTGTGGACCCCTTCATCATTACATAATGACCATCTTTGTTTCTTATCATAGTCTTTGGCTTAAAGTCTATTATGTCTGATACATATATAGCTAAGCCTGGGGAAGTCTTTGGTCTGATTTTCCCTCTTCTTTAGAGATATGGGGAGGAATCAATGGATTCCTATAATGAGGGCCAGCACTAGTTTCAAGACCTCCTTGTGTATATTGACCAACTGTTACTTCTGGGTATGTTAGAGAAGTCTTCTTGGACTTTCTAAAACTGTGGAACCTCTTCAGTGTTCCATGAACCATGGGTTACTTCTCAGAAATGGCCAGAAGTATTGTGAGAAGGGCCTTGTCTTTGTTATTTAGTTCTGGGAACATGACATTTCTTCTTTTCTATTCATTGTCACTTTCTTCTCTGTGCTTTTTTCATGCTGTTGCTTTCATCAGGTTTCTCGGGACATGGGGTTTGCTGTTAGATTTGGGTGGGAATTCCACCTCTGTCCAGCTCTCCCTGTGTGAGCAGTAACCTAACCTAAGCCTGACTTCCTCCTGTTAAAATAACGTCCTCATCTTTATTTTAAGGGAACATTTGTAAAGTTCTTAGCATGGTGCCTTGTATATGGTCAGCATTCAATGAGTAATCTATTTTGGTGCATTATTGTTGTGGGTTTTTTTTTGTGTGTGTTTTTTTTTTAGGTTATTTCTTTTATCTTGACTTTTAGGTTGTATCTTTTATCTTGAAGCCTACTACTCCTAAAATAAGCCAGAATATAGAGTATCAAATACGTTCCCTAGAAGAAACCTCTGTTACAAGCATAAGTGGATACCCCTGAGATCACCTCAGTCAGAAAAATAGAAATAACAAGTACCGTGAAGGTCAGCTACAGTTAGGTTCCATGTGAACTCACAGTCCTTTAAAATTTCCTTTCAACCTCTTCCCGTGACTCCAGGGTCCCAAGGAATCTGTGTTAATCATGTTAAGTTGTTTAATATTAACATAAAAACTAGAAAGTAGAATGGGTAGAAAGCAACAAGCACACTTCGGTTAAGTTCTCTTGACTCACGTCTTGTGTGCAAGTGACTTGCCGAGAGGTTGGTCTCAAACCTGAGTGGCTGTTGGCATCCAGATCCTTTCGCTAAGAGTTGTAAAATGAGGAGGGAGGGGACCATCACAGTTTGTGGGAATAAGGTTGGAAATAGCCCAGCCAGATAATCTGGAAGGATGAGGTGACATCTTTTAAAAAGGCTCTAGGGGCTCCTGGGTGGCTCAGTCACTTGAGCGTCGGACTCTTGATTTTGGCTCAGGCTGTGATCTCTGGGTCATGGGATCAAGCCCCAAGTCAGTCTCTGTGCTCAGTAGGGAGTTTCCTTGGGATTCTTTCTCTCCCTCTGCCCCTCTCCCTATACTCACTCTCTCTTATAAATGCATCTTTAGGGGCCCCTGGCTGGCTCAGCTGGTTAAGTGATTGCCTTCAGCTCAGGTCATGATCCCAGGGTCCTGGGATCAGTCCCGCATTGGGCTCCCTGCTCAGTGGGAAGCCTGCTTCTCCCTCTGCCACTCCCCTGCTTGTGTTCTCTCTCTCATTGTATGTGTCTATCAAATAAATTTAAAAAAAAAAAACTTAAAAAAAATGAATAAATAAATACATCTTTAAAAAAAATTAAAAATAAAAAGTCTCTAGATTAAGAATCTTCTCTCCATGGAAGTGGGCGGGGGTTATTGAATTCATCTGCTGTGACTTGCTCACCTTTATCACTCCTGCCATGAAACAGGGCCTTTCCCACCTTGCTCAGAGGTCCTTGAATTTCCAGTAATTTCTGTTAAGAATTTCTGGTTGCCTAGTAATCATTTCCAAATACCTCAGTATTTGTTAACATCAGCTGGCTTAGTCATATACTTGGCCTAAATAAGAGAGGGTACTGGTTCCTCTGGGGCTCTGGAGAGGTGACTATATGTTGCATAATTAATTTTTTTTGTATTGCCTAAACACTGAGTTGCCTGTAGCCATTTTTGACACTTAGCGTGGGGCCTGTCCCGTCTCGTAGTCATCGCTCAGTAGGCACAGGTCTCCTGCCCCTTAGCTAGAGTTAATTGTTCTGGTTAGATGAAGGGGTGTGTGTGTGTGTGTGTGTGTGTGTACCCCAGGAGCTGTGGGGTAGAGAAGCTGCCCCCTCCCTTGGCTTCTGCCTCCACTCCCCCTCCTCCCCCGTGGGCTGAGGGGTCATGGCCTGGGCTCCGTCAGGAAGCCGCCCTTCACCGACCGGTGTCTCGCTGTCTAGACTGCCAAGGGAAAGGACGCGGCATGCGGGCCCAAAGACGGGAAGAGCCTCTTCGGCGGGCTGGCGTCCGGGGAGTCCAGCTGGTCGCAGCACCGGCAACGGCGCCTGCAGGATCACGGCAAGGAGAGGAAGGAACTCTTCTCTATGACTTTGCAGGTATGGCTGGGTCTTGGCGGGGCAGCCCTTGGGGGCCGTGGCTCTCGGTGGAGGGGTGCAGGGCCTGCATGTACCCCTCCCAATTTCCGTGTAATGCTGTTCGTGGGTCACAGGTTCTCTGAGGCTTGGCCGGAGAGACCGGCTTCCCTTGCCTTCACCCAGAATCACCCAGCCTTGCTTGGTCACAGGGTGCCTTCCTCCTGCGTCCCCTGCTGGAGACGCTGCCCCGACATGCGGTGTTGTGCTGAACCCAGGCACTTGTGCTCGTGGCACTGATCCTGGGGACTCCCCTCTTCCCTGAAAATGGGATGGGGGTCTACCCTTCCTGGCAGTAAAGCTGCTCTCTCTCTGTCACCTGCTCCGGATTGAAGTGAAACACCCAAGGGATTTGCCAGCGGTGTCACCTGCCTGACCACTTATCCTCTGTCTGGGGCTCCTGGCTGATGTCAGAAGCACTGTTGCCGCTCCCCAGCCCTGTGTGTGCCGGCGGAGTAGACCCTCGTGGCTCTGACCTCAGATGGTCCTGTTTTGACCCCGTCGGGTTAGAGACATGCCTGAGCTCAGCTTCTCCCAGAGGGCGCCTGTCTGAGCTTGAGGTCTCTCTCCCTCTCTTATATTTTTGCTGTAGAGCTGTGCTTCTGTGATGCGAGGAGCACTTTGAAGAGCCTCAAGGGCTTTGGGGGTGGCGAAGGCTGCCCTGGCCCGTGCCCCCTGGCCCGGGTTATGTCAGGGGGAATAGTAGTAGTCGTGGGGGCCAACCCCCAGCCAACACTGGGGAGGCAGAGAGGGTGTGTGGGGTGCCTGCTGGGGCCTGGCCTTGTGGCTCTGCCACTGTCCTCATGTCTGCATCCCGATGTCTGGTCAGTCGCCTCCGTCTCATGGGATGGTGGGGCGAGGCTTCACATCCAGCTCTGGACTTTGGGCAGCGTATTTAACCTTCTGCTTTCAGTCTTAGTTTCCACAGTTATCAGATGGGGTTGATAATAGGATCCCAGACGTTTTGGGGCAGGATTAAATGATTGAATCAAATGTAGTCATACAGCGCCTGGCCCTTACTGGGTGCTCCCTGATTTTTATTGTCAGCCTGTCCCGCGTCATGTGAGCTGTGATAGGGCAAGGGTTCCCACAGCCCCTGACTCCCTCAGCAGGGCCTCTGAGAGGGGGAAGGTCTCTAGACAGGGGCCGCTGGCAGAGCAGGAATCTGCCTCTCCTCGGACGAGCTGGTGCTGCTCGTAGTGTCCAGAGCTCTTTCTTCTAGAGCCTGTGGCCCCTCAGAGCCTCCCCCAGCATGCTGTGGCCTGGCATCTTAGCTGTCCTGCAGCAGGTCCCCAGATGTGAAGGGCTGGGACCTGGGCAGACCCCTCACCACTGACTTGTCCCCATTTCGCTTATCATAGAGCGCAGAGAAGAAGGCCGAGGCTAGTGGCCCAGAGGCTGAGCCCTGCCCCGAGCCCCATGTGGAGGCACTGGAGACGCTGACACGGGCTTCTGCAGCAGGTGCCGAGGGCGGAGGGGGCCGCCCCGAGCAGCCGTTTATTGTGCTGGGGCAGGAGGAGTACGGGGAGCACCATTCCTCTATCATGCACTGCAGGTGGGCTTGGTTCCGGGGGTCCGGGGGAGGCCCTGGCAGGGAAAGTGCTGACTGGGCTGGCGGGGCTGGCTCCCTGGGAGGCCTGGCTTGTCAGGCTGTGCATGTGAAGGTGTGGCAGCAAGGAGGTCCCTCCGGGGGGATGGTCCCTGATGGACCACGGTCATCCCTCCAGTCGGAGGAGGGCTGAACAGCTGCTCTTGGCCTGGGTAGCCTCTGTCCTTTCTCACTGTGGAACTCTATGAGTTTTCGTTTTAGTTGTAGTTGTAGTTTTATTTTAACTCACTGAGACTTAACTTTAATTTGCTTTATGTTGTTTTATATACATGTTTTATATATCATATACATATATATGTATATATAAATAATTTCCTATGTGTTGTTTTGTTGTTTTACTTTTTGGTAAACCTTCACCATGTACAAGTGTTTAGTCACGCATGGTGAAAGCATGAGCTCTGTGAGGCCTTGTGGACTGTGGTTTGGGGAGAGTGAGGGGCTCCCTGCCGCGGGACTGTGGCTCTGGAGTCCCGCGGGAGGTGCAGCTTTCCGGGCACAGGGCCGTGGGCACCTCGCCGCTGCTCCGTCCCCACTGCTTCCCCCAGGGCTCAGCACAGAATAGATGCTTGCTTAGTACTTCTTGACTGAATGAATACTTCTAGATAGAGTCCACGCCCATCCTTGGAGTGTAGACAGTTTGGGAAACAGTTGAGAAGTCAGCGAGGCCATGCTCTGGGCTCCAGCTGATGAGGATGGTGGGCTCAGGCAGGGATGGTAACAGCCTCCTTCTCTCTTCCATCTTAGAGTGGATTGCTCGGGGAGGAGGGTCGCCAGCTTGGATGTAGACGGGGTCATCAAAGTGTGGTCCTTCAACCCCATCATGCAGACCAAAGCGTCCTCCATTTCCAAGTCGCCACTGCTGTCTCTAGAGTGGGCCACCAAGCGGGACAGGCTGGTGAGTGATGCCCGCCTTGTTGTGTCTAAGTGAGGAGGTCCCGAGGCCATCCCCTGGCATCTGGCACCACAGGCTCAGCTGAGGCAGCCAAACCACCCCTCCCTTCTCTGCTACTGGGGTTTGGGGGGACATGCATCCAGACTGTCCTGGATGGGGGGTTTGGTGGGGAGTCGTTCTTCCTCTCCACCTAGGGAGATGCCAGCTTGCCTCCCGTTCTCCTCCGCCAGCTCCTGTCATCTGTCCAGTTTCTGACAACCCACCGTGAACGTTCTCAGCTGCCCCTCGTCCTGCTGAGACCCCTCCCCATGGCAGGGTCCCGGGGTAACAGCTTAGGCTGGTGGGGATAGTGTCCTGTTCAGGGTCCCCACAAGTCTACTACAGTGCTGTTGGTACAGGGTTGTTCCTTTTGGACTTTACTGTTTGGGAGAGGATTTGTAGTTTAGGAGGTAAAGTTGATTTATAGTGTTTTCTTTGTATTCCGTTTTGAGGAGATCATATAAGGCAGCCTAAGGAGCAAACCTCATTGGCAATTTTTTTTTCCAATAATTTTTGACAACCTGCAGAGTTTATCTTTATGATACTAGGATCTCAGAACTTACCCTTTACACGTATTAATCTGCCAGTGTTAATTTGAGCTCAGAATGTTGGTAATATTCCTGGGGGATATCCTCAGACCTGCTTCTGGCGCTTTCTTTTGGCAGTACCAGTTATCATCTTTGAAGCTTTTTACCCAGTAAATCACAAATGCCTGGAGGCAAGGATATCCTTTTCTATTTTTTCTGGAGGCCGTAACAGGCCCAGAGTCAGAGGTTTCCCCAGAACATGTCACTGGGGCAGGGGCCAGTACCCAGGGAGGTGTGGCAGGTAGAGGAGAAGCCAGAAGAGAGGACGGGAACTGCCGGGACTGAAAAATGGCAGAAAGGGAGGGAATGTCAGGGGGCTTCATTTAATCAGTTAGCACATTTCCAGGTGTATCTGAGGCGATACCTCTCTCCCAGTCTATAGATTTCTTTTGAAGTTTTGCTTCTGTTCAACGTCACCTCTGATGGGTTCATGTCATTTTTTTTTTAAGATTATTTACTTATTTGACAGAGAGAGAGAGATAGTGAGAGCACGAACACAAGCAGGGGGAGTGGGAGAGGGAGAAGCAGGCTTCCCGCTGAGCAGGGAGCCTGATGCAGGACTCGATCCCAGGACCCTGGGATCATGACCTGAGCTGAAGGCAGATGCTTAACAACTGAGCCACCCAGGCCCCCTCTTCATGTAATTTTTGAATGAGGTCCATGTTAGCCAGATTTCTCCCGAGTGTGTGGTGGTGGGCGGAGGCGGGGCCTCACCCTGCAGCTTGCCCAGACCTGCACCTCACAGGAGTGGGCCTGGCCCCGCAGTGATCCTCCCTGACCAGGCCTGAGCCGTCCTTTGCATCCCCTGCCCCTTCTCCTTCTAGCTCTTGCTGGGCAGTGGTGTGGGGACGGTGCGTCTTTATGACACAGAAGCCAAGAAGAATCTCTGTGAGATCAACATCAACGACGATATGCCCAGGTGAGTGGGAGGCCACGGCTCACACCCGCCGTGCTCTGCGGGGCTGGTTCTGCGCTGGGCCTTCTGCCCCATCCCCGTAGCAGGACCCGCCTCAGAGCTGAAGCCTGACTTCTCTGGAGGAGGCGCAATGCTGACCCGGCCCCACGTGTATTGCAGAATCCTGTCGCTTGCCTGCAGCCCCAACGGGGCCTCTTTCGTCTGTTCGGCCGCCGCTCCGAGCCTCGCTGCCCAGGTGGACTTCTCGGCTCCAGATATTGGCAGCAAGGGTACTAACCAGGTTCCCGGCAAGCTGCTGCTGTGGGACACGAAAACCATGAAGCAGCAGGTGCCGGCCCTGCCCCTGGGGATCTCCTCGTGGGTCTGTGTGGGGTCGCGCTCCTGGGGTAGCCCTGTGTGTCAGCTTCCTGGTCCTTCTGATGAGCCTCGTCCTCTCTTTGCTTTGGTCTCCTCAGATTTCAGTAGGTGAAGCGGGTTCAGAGTCAAAGAGTCTGAGTCGGTTGGAAAGTAGTCACACTCCAGCTAGGCTGGCTTCTGGCCACTGGCGTCATCCAGAATCGGGCCACAGACGTAGAAGTCCCACACAGCCTATCAGAGGGCGCTTGTGGTTTATTAAAATTTTTTAAATTTAATTTTGTTTATATTGAAAGGCTTTAAAAAATTAATTTTTTTTGAGCAGTTCTGGTTCACATCCAAATTGGGAGGAGGGTCCAGAGATCTCCCATTTACCCCCTGCTCCTGCCCCCTGCCCAGCAGAGCGGCACTCTCTTTATAACAGAGGCCCCCTCACACTCCCAGTCTGCCTTCGGGCCCAGTCTTTGTGTTGTACACTGTCTAGGTCCCGACAAGTGGGTGAGGACACCTATGTACCATTATGGTACCACATGGGCCATTTTCACTAAAAGCAGCCTGAAGGTCCTGTGTGCTCCTGTTCCTCCCCTCCGCCCCTCAGACCTTGGCACCTGCCGATCTCTCTATTGTCTCCACAGTTTTGCTTTCTCCATCACATCGTGTAGTCGGGATCTCACAGTGTGGTCCCATCGGCTTCTTTCACTTTGTCTTATGCAGTCAAACAGCTTGTTTTTTAGGAGACAAGCGGAGTCTCTGACTCCCTGTTAACGTAGTGACGCATAAAGGTGCCAACAGCAGCCGGAAGGAGTGGGGACACGTGCAGGTTCCTGGGAAGTGACAGCCGGGCGAAAGCTGGCCCAGGAGCCGAGGACCACCCACCCACCGTGGCAGTTGCTTGCCGCAGTGACCCTGAGCGCCCAGAGAGAGAGATGAGGTGTAAATGCACACATTTAGAAGGCATTGATGTTTCTTACTGAAATTAGTTTCGGGGCACAAATGTGGTGTGGCCCTTGCGTTCAACAGATGGGTTCCCAAGGCCACTGGATGCCGGGAAGTGTCCCTGTCCTGTAGATGGGCCGTTTGTGCCTCCCTGCACCTGCCTGTAGAGATGGGGTGCATTCCCCTCTGGGGGTCTCCCCGGGGCACAGGGATCAGGGCCACCCTGGAATTCTTGCCTACCGTGCCCCGCCACGTCTGTTCTCCTCCCGAGTTTCCTTGTCTCAGCAAATGTGCCCCACTGTGAAACTGCATGCCCTTCCGGAGCCACCCTCCTCCCTCACCCTGCAGAGCCGGTGGGCTGACACCATCCGCTCCCCCTGCAAACCGTTTCCATTCTGCCCACTTCTCTGCGCTTCCAGGGACACGCCCTAGACTGGGTCTCAAGTACCCCTCGTAGGACGCCGCACGCCCTCCTGTGGTGGGCCCTGACCTGCTGCAGGGAACGACAGACCCCAGAGCCTGTTCCTCCAGATTTCCGGTCCACACCCCCGCAGGGCCCCCGCCGTCGGCCCTCCCCACTGCTCCAGCCTCCGAGTGTGTCCTGTGGCTGCAGGCCCTCCCCGTGCGCTGTCCCCTGCGTGCCGTCCCTTGCTGTCATGGTGTTCTCCCCACCCGGCCCAGCACACATCTGTCCTCCAGCCACTCTCAGTGCTTTCCCTTGTCCGGCTTAGTTAGATCCTTCATCTTTCTCTTTGCCTCAAAGACACTTAGAGTAGTTTTATGTTTCCTTGTTATCTTTAAAGTTTTAATGAAATACTGAGTACATACAAAAGAACCTTGCGATCAGAGGTGTGCAGTATAGTGGGAAGAGAAGCTGTCACATGAGCACCTAGGTACGATCACAGTTGGACACTGGAACCTTCCCGCACTTTGCATGCTCTCGCGTGCCCTTCCGAATCTTGGTCCTCTTTCCCTTTTCAGACAAGAATTTGTCTTGAATGTTGAGTTGTTATTCTTCTACAGTTTCAAATTTAGTTGTATTTTTTGTTTGGTTTTGTTTTTTTAACTAGCTCCAGTTCTCTCTGGACCCCGAACCCATTGCCATCAACTGCACAGCTTTCAATCACAATGGGAACCTGCTGGTTACGGGGGCAGCTGATGGTGTCATCCGGCTGTTCGGTAAGCGGCTGTGCTCGTGGCTGTCTGGTCCCCCCCCTTCAGTGGTCCAGAGAGGAAAGTTGCATTTTTGCTGGCTGGACTAGAGGCTATTGCAGAAGCCCACCCAATTCAGGATGCTCGAAATAGGGCTTAATTTTGGTCCAAGTTGGCTCTTTTCCAAACCTCTGTAATCAGCCCCCCTGCACATGGTCGGTGTCCGTGGGCCTGGGAGTGGTGGGGCTTAGCAGTCCTTGAGTGTGGCGCTGTGTGGTCCGAGTCCTGTGGCTGGAGTGAGATCCAGGAGGGCACATGAGAATAATGGCGTGCCTTCTGCTGAGGGTGGCTGGTGCCTTCTCCTGGTAAGAGCATTAGACCGGTATGCAGTGGAGTTATCGTGCGCACTGTTGGAGGAACCCAGCTCCATGCAGGCCCGCCCCGGGAGACTCTGGAGTCTGGGAGGGAATGAGAGACCGAGTCTAGCAGAGCCCCCAGGCGCCCCATGGGACCTTACAGAGGCCTCCTAGGAAGCATTTGTTTCTCTCCCTAGACTTGTGTGCCTCCCAGATGAGCTCAGGCTCCGGCCATGGATTCCTGAACCTCGTGTTTGACCCAGGGAGAAAAGCTTCAACTTCAGAATTGTTGAATCGCTGCTTAATACACTGGAGGAGAGAATTAGTGCACTGAGAGAGCTTTTTGGCAGGGCTCAGCTCTGGGATGCCTGTAGGCTCCAGGAGATCCTCCACCTCCTGAACAGATCCAGCCCTTTGGGAGGAGGGCCAAGGTGCCTGTCATGGGCGGATCCTCCCCGGGGCCCTGGCAGGGGTCTCAGCGGCATCTCATCCCCGCAGATATGCAGCAGCACGAGTGCGCCATGAGCTGGAAGGCCCACTGCGGGGAGGTCTACTCGGTGGAGTTCAGTTACGACGAGAACACCGTGTACAGCATCGGCGAGGACGGGAAGGTAGGAGGGAGCCAGATTTTGACCTGGAACGCTTCTTCCTTTGGCTTGAGATTCCAGAGGGCAGCAGAATAGCATGAGGGCTGAGATGAACCCTGACCGGGCCCTTCACAGGCTTTCTGACCTCAGGGCCCCTCTCCACCTCAGCAGGCCATCCATACAAGGGGGCGGTCATAGTCACTGGTCTTGGGACCGTTGTGAGGTCTGAACAGGCATAGTGGGAGTCGGTGACGAAAAGGGAGAGCCCAGCCTCCCTCCCAAGTTTTAGCGGAAGTGACTCCTCCCACTCTGGGTGGATGCGGGGTTCAGATTAGGGCCCAGGTTGAGCTGGCCGGGGTCATCAGGGGTCACAGCACGGTGTATAGAGTTGCTTCCTAGAAGCCATGTGGCTAGGCCAGAGTGGAGTCAGAAAGCCCAGTAGAAAAAGATAAAAAGTGAAGATCAGTGGCTCCTTGTGTATTCTTTCTGGAAGGACACGTTCAGATCCAGGAAAGGGAGCTGGGCTGGGAGGCAGCCGGAGAGGAGAGAGGGAGACTTGGTTTTCAGGTATACCCACCTGTACCCTTGGATTTTGTACTGTGTACCTGTATTCCTCACTGAAAACTGTAATTTCAAAGGAAATTCTGCATTTGGAAACTATGGGGAGGGATTTTTAAGGTAAGGCTTGACTTCCTATTTATTTGAGTAGGAGTCTCAGTGAAGACGTGGTCACATAGCTTGTCCACGGTGTAGACTAAAGGATTATGTACACCACAGGCCGTGAAGCTAGTTTATAACAGTTCTGCTCATGTTCAATTGATTACACTGCTGAGACGGTGGGAAGATATTTGGAATTAGGCTCTCCTCTAAGTCGGAAAAACCCAGTTGGGTTCTAACCCTAGGAACAACAACAACAGTAATAATAACGATCCCATGGTGCATCCCCCTGTTTGAGAGATGGGAATCCATGCGGGCAGTTGCCCACCCTTTCCCTCTCCTGGAGTCAGGCCAGAAAGAGTTCAGGCTCTTCTGTGAAGTTGCGGGCTCTTTCTGAGATGTTGTTTTCTAAAAACAATATTTGAATTGTGTTGGGAAAAGAGACCAAGGGGTCATGGCACTGCCTCTCCTGGTGGCCTGTTGGCGCCCGCACGTCTGGCCTGGGCCCGCGTGGCTGAGCGAGCCCTCAGCCTGTGCTTCCTGGTTGCAGTTCATCCAGTGGGACATCCACAGGAGCGGCCTGAAGGTGTCCGAGGACAGCCTCCCCGCCGACGCCACCGGCCCCTTTGTGCTGTCGGGTTACAGCGGCTACAAGCAGGTTCAAGTGCCCCGGGGCCGGCTCTTCGCTTTTGACTCGGAGGGAAATTACATGCTGACGTGTTCTGCCACAGGGGGCGTCATCTACAAGGTACCTGGCGGGGGCGGAGGGCCTGTCCGGGTGAGCAGAGAGGTTCCTCCCTGGAGGTGTGGGCCAGGGCCAAGCCGGCTACATGTGCAGAAGCCTCTGACCCCCGGGGGGGGGGGGGGGGGGTGCCCGGGGCCCGGGGGGGGGGGGGCGGGGGGGGGGGGGGGGGGCCCCCCCGGGGGGGGGGGGCCCGGGCCCAGGCGGGCCGCTGGGGGAGGGCCCCCCGCCCCCGGGGGGGGGGGGGGGGGATGGTGCCTGCGGCCTCGTGGCTGCAGGCCGGGCAGGGGGGCCGATCCCCAGCTCGGGGGTGGAGACAGGACGGACACGTTTGTCTTTTTTGCTGCTTGTCTATTTGCTGTCGTTTGACAAGATTCTGGCCCTCCTCCGCTTTTGTTCCTTGGACATAATATCTATTAGAGAAAATGTGAAGAAGCAGAAGCGTTGGGAAGGGTGTTGGTTTGGGGGGAACGTGCCGCACACGGACAAGTGCTTCCGTGGTCTGCTTCAGTGACTGATCTGGTGTAGGCTTATTAGCTTCCTGGAGGTCCCCTGGTCACAGACATTACAGCCCGTGCCCAGGGCGGAAATCGGGGGGTGTGGCTCTTCACACCAGCACGGAAGCCATCCACGTGGTTTGTGCCTCAGTTTATGTGCTTGTTTCAGTTCTCATGACTGAGCTTCTCTGGTTCATGTACTTTTTTGTACAACTGTCTGCAATGATAAACCTCATCTATTTTACGAGTATTACCAGACAGACGAGTGATGGGGATTTGAGTTGTAGTCAAAGCACGTTTGTTTTTATTTTCTTTAAAGATTTTATTTTTTTGTTGAAGAGTGTTCGTGCGCACATGCATGAGCCGTGGGGCAGGGGCAGAGGGAGAAGCAGGCTCGCCGCTGAGCAGGGAGCCTGAGGTGGCTCGATCCCATGACCCTGGGATCATGACCTGAGCTGAAGTCAGCCGCTTCACTGACCTAGCCACCCAGGTGCTCCTAAGCATATGTTTTTGGTAACAAACCAGTTCTTAGCGTCCGTGGCAACTCTTTGCCTAATGGTAGTGTTTATACAGTGTGTAGGCGTGGAGTCACAAGAACGTTCTCTGCCCGGGGGCTCTCCGTGCCCCCGTTACCCTGGCTCATGGGTCGGTGGACGGCACGTGCTCTGGACGGCAGCTGCGTGCAGGTGTTGGGCGAAGCAGTGTGAGCGTGCACGGGAGGGTGTGATCCTGCTGTCGTGGGGCTCATACTCAGGACCAGCAGGGACAGGGCAGGGTTCTGAGCGGAGGAAGCTGGGCAGGGGCTGGGCCCTCAGGGGAGACCCCTGCGGGGTGGGGGCTGGTCCTCGGATCTGAGGCCTTCAGAGGAGCAGGAGGTGGGGAGGCCAGTGAATGAGTGAGGCCAGCCTTGGTGTCCCACGGGGATAGAGGCAAGGGAGAGCACTGGAATGGTGGAGGGAGGCATGCAGAGGTGGCACGTCAGGAGCCATCTCGACTGTTGGTCCGGAGTGTGGAACCACGGGTGATCCAGGCTTACCATCACTGAGGCCTCCTTTTCCACAGATGATGATGCATTAACGACTTTTCCCTTCTTAAAATTAGCTCTGTAATTTCTTATAATTGCTATTAGAAGATGCTATGAAAAGCTTTCTGTCTGCAAGCCTAATTGTATTTTATTATTTAAAAACTGAGTTTGTTAGCCTGTATTTTGCTCTGTGTATGATTTTTTTGTGTGTTATGTGTACATTTTTGTATTTTTAATCATGAGCCTCGTCACTTGTTATTTGTCCCAATCAGCCTTTGTCATCTGTTCCAGTCAGCCTTTGTCATTTGTCCGAAGGGCCTCTTCCTCTCCTGTCCTCTTGCAGCTGGCTGGGGATGAGAAGGTTCTGGAATTCCATTTAAGCCAGGGTGGCTTCTGTGGGCTGACGATTTGCTGTCAGATTTGCTCTGTAACCATTTAATGGCTTGGAAGATTTCCCTCTGTATAATTTTTGAAATGCCAGTTATGAGGTCTAATTTCTTATATAATGAACTTTAGATCCACTTTTTACAATCTTTAAACGATCTATGATTTTTTTTAAGATTTTTTCTCCATGAGGGCCCAGACTTCTGTTTCCTACTCATGGGTGTTTTCTTTTGCTGGATTGATCGTTATTAACTGTGCTTGTGGCTTCCCCTTCCTTGTTCCCTTCTGACTCTCATCACTGTGGACTGAGTCCTGGGAGGCTGGTGCTGCTGGGCGAGGGAGAGCCTGCTCACACATCCTCAGGGTGGCCGGTGTTGCTCTGTGCTGGCTGCTGTCGGAGAGGACCCACAGCCTGCCCTCCGGCAACTTGCATTCCAGGGGGAAGCAGATGGGAAACAGCAGGGCATGTGTGATTGCATGCTGGAAAGCAATAAGCCCAGTAGCAGCAGATTTGGGTGTGGTTTGGGGAGGGTGCAGAAGGCACCTGCCCACAGTGAGTTAAAGGCATCAGAGAGAACATTCTCCTGTCTTTTTGAGCAGATTTTCCTCCTAAGACAAAGGAATGATTATAGTCGGGACAGTGAAGGCGTTTCCTGGCACAAGAAATTAAACTGAGGTCTTCTGGGAGGGAAAGATGGGTATGCGTGCCCGGGTACTTCCTCATGTTGGGGTGGCAGCCCCCAGACTCGAGGCAGTTTGGTGGATAAAGTGACTGTGTGTGTGAGCAGTGCCTGCTGATGCCTCCTCTCTCCTGTCTTGCAGCTGGGCGGGGATGAGAAGGTTCTGGAGAGCTGCTTGAGCCTGGGCGGCCACCGAGCCCCTGTGGTCACCGTGGACTGGAGCACGGCCATGGACTGTGGGACGTGCCTCACTGCGTCCATGGATGGCAAGATCAAGCTGACCACCCTGCTGGCTCATAAACTCTGACGGGACACCCCACCCCCCCACCCGCCGAGGGACACCCACGGAGGCAGTGTTATCCTGTTATCCTGTTACCCTGGGGGAGTGGAGTGACGGGACCCGAAGACAGAGCAGAGTGCTTCCTGCTCCTGGCCAGTGTGGGGACTCCTCAGGGAAAGACAGCCCAGGGAACTCTGGCTCTTTCCAGCAGCAGAGACCGGACAGGAGCCACACTGAGTCATGGCACAAGTGCCCCCAGAGACCAGCGTGCTGGGCTGTGCAAGGGGCATGCTTCAGGCGGCAGGGACGCAAGTTCAGGAAGCAGGAGATGCAGCATGATGGCTGCTCTCTTGGCCCAGGAGGGAGTGACAGTATTTTGTATATATTTGCTCATTTTTCTTTCTTTTTTAAAAAAGAATATTCTCATGGTCACCTGGTATCTCTTTCTGGAACGTGTGCGTGCAGCAGAGCATCTCCTTTCACCCTTTGCCCTTGGAGAGGCAGATGTTCCAACAGGAAGCTGGTCAGCTGCGAGCTGAGGCCCTGCTGCCAGGCGTTGCCCGCTGTGGGGCTGAGCCGTGTGGAGGTTTGCTTGTTGCTTTGCCTTAGAGCTAGGCGTCCTGGCTCCCACCGCCGGGCTAGGTGAGGTTTGTGCTCTTCCTCCTTCTTTGGGCTGCAGTCAGGGAGGTCATGGTGTTCCTTTTCTTCTGTGCGTTGGCGGAGCTTCTCGAGATGAGGTTAGGGTCTGAGGCCTCTGACTCCAGCTGCCCCGTCCACCGGGGCGGGTGTCCCTGTCCTGCCACTGAGGCTCCGCCTGTTCTGTCTCCTTCCCATCCTGGAGGCGGACCGGAGCCAGCCGCCAGCGCCCTCTGCTGGTGGACGGTAGGAGGGCGGGAGCCCGTGGGCCAAGCTTGCTTTTCCAGGGAAGCCTGCAAGGGGTGGGTCTCCTGCTCCGAGGGCTGACGGGGGTGGCCTTGGTGCCCAGATGCTCCGAAGAGCTGTTGTAGGGCCTCTTTGGGCTCCAGCCCAGTCCTGGTGGTGCAGGTGTAGGGGGTACTCCGGTGACCTACTTCTGGAAAATCATGAAGTTGGTACAAAGGCCTTGGCTCCCATTCTGTTGGGATTTGGAGGAAGAGTAGGGGTTTATATGGCTCCATTATGGGAGAACAACAGAGATTGATAAGTAGTTACACATTTTTACCAATTTCTACCTTGGCAACCCTCTCTTCAAATGAAGAAAACCGAGACTTGTCCGTTTACAATTGTCCCCATCTTCTGCACTGAAACAGCAAATAATCTTCCCCACAGATTCTGTAGGACATTTAAGAAGCTGTCATGTGTTTCATTTGAGTGAGAGAATTCACTGTTTAACCTCAAAGTTTTGTTTCAGTTTCTCTTTATTACCCATTCTCTTCTCAATATGGTCTCCACAGCTACCGGAATGTCTTTAAGGATTGCAAAGAAACAAAGAACACTTGAAAAGCTTTGTCTTCTCGCTTTTCCTTTATGCTCTGGGCTGGACATCCACCTCCCTTTTGTTTGGCTTTTGCTTGAGATTCTGTGGGGTTCCACAACACACTGCCTGAAAACACAAAACCACAACACTAACTAAAAATAAAACAGAAAAAACCCAAATCCCATTCACCTCTGACCTTTTGAAATTAGCAAATACAAGTGGCCAAACCTGCCCCTTCCTGGCCTGTTTCTCCCCAGCCTTCACTCCATCCTGAGTGCTGGTCAGGCCACATTCATCCTGGAGTTACTCCTTGGGCCACCCAGACCCTCCAGGATGAGCTCTTATCCTGCGGTCAGTCACATCAAGACTTGAATTTCCTTCTCCTTCACAAGAGTTGCTCGGCACCTGCCCAGAACCCCAGCAAGACTCCTCCCATTCTTTTGGGCAAGGGCAGCTTATGGGGAAGCTATTAAGCCAGTGCAGCTCAGGAACCCCCCACCCAGCCTGCATACCTGGTATGGGTGTGGCTCCTGGCTCTAGTCTGGGCTGCTTGAGAGCCTCTACCTTGCTGTCCTCCGAGCTCTCTGCTCTGTGCTTACTGCCTCTGCCAGGCCTGGGAGTATGGCTTTCAAAGCACTTTAGCCGTTGACTTCAGCCTGTCCAGATCCCACAGCTCCGGTTTTCTATTCCCACTTGGACTTCTCTCCCTTCAAACAGAAAGCTGCTCGTGCAGATGCAAAGGTTTCCTGTTCCTCAGACCTCATATTTCAGCCGATGATGGGAAGAGGTTTTAGGGAGACAAATACGGAGGGAGCGAGTCCACTAAGTATTTTCTGTTCCTTTATTCACAAAACAAAACGATGCTTCACCAGTTAGACCAGGGTTTGCCTGACTCACAGCTTGAGAGCAGAGGACCCTGGAGGTCAGCAGTTCTAATACGTTCTGCAGAACCAGAGAAGCAGGGCCTGCCCCCCCCCCCCCCGCGGTGTTGCCCTCTGGAAAAGACTGGAGGCAGAGTTCAGGTTCAGCCTGCAGCTAGATCACCCTAGTGCACAATGGGTTGGTTTTGTGACTTGAAACCATGGATTTATCTCCTTAAGCCTTGATTGAGTGAAACATTCCCAGCCCAGCTGGTGAAAGCGCTTTAGAAACCCCAAGCGCCACACAACTGGGAGAGAGCTTCAGGGTCCGGACTCCCCAGGCTTGGGCTGGAGCTCCCCTGTTGTGCACCTCTAGTGTATGGAGGGTCATTACCATTAGCGGATTTGTTATAAATCATAGATCAAAGGGCTGTCTTGATAATTGCACATTTTGGGGTCAGACGGTCAGTTCTGATCATCCTTTTACCTTGAAGTGCGGCAAAAGAAGGTTCACCTGTGATTGCCTTTGCTTGTGGTTTCTGTCATGTCTGTGACCTGGAGGTTTCTTTGCTGTAAGCTGAGTTTGATTTTAACTAAAACTAGATGCTAGCTCCACGTGTCCACGTTAGTGCTCAGCACCAGGCTGAACACAGACCACCGAGGACACCTGGGAAGCTTTGTGGAGCTCTTGCTCGCAGAGGGAGCACCTGGCCACCCATCTGAATGTTGAGTATTAGTGACACCTACTTCCTTTAAGGTGACATATGAACAGGCTTTCTTTTCCTGCACCCAAGGGGCTCACCTTGTCTCCCTCCCCCTGGGATGTGGACCCCCACCAGGGAGAGTTGACCTTGATCCCTGTGGGAATCCTGAGCTTTAAAAAAGGCAGACCCTCCTCCCCTCATCCTAATTTCTCCCTTGGGGGGCCTGGGAATTGCCACTCTAATAAAGACCGACTAGCGGACCTCCAGTGGAGCCGTGTTTGGGGACCGTTAAAGAAAAAAATATTCTATTAAATAGAAAATCATTTGTGACACTTGTTAAAAACATCAAGGCAGACTTTATTCAAGGGCGGGTACTACAGTGGGGTTTTGTAGTAGGGGAGAGCCATCAGTCTTAACTCTGGATACAGCCAGGAGGAGGGACTTGATAGCTAAGGAGCAGGGTGGGGTCAGTGGATGGAAAGTTGCTAAGAGGAAACACGAGGAGTAAGGAGGGTGGAGGGAGGAGGGCTCTGGCTAAACTCAGCACTAGGATTCTTGTTGAAGGCAATGTCAGTGGTCAGACATCACCTGGAAGATGGTGAAAGATGAGGAGCCCGCCCAAATGTGAAGGCAGTCAGGATTGGGGCTGGGGTGTCCTGGCTAAAATGGCTTGGTAGGATGCTTGCTAAAACTGGACAATGCAGAAGGGGGCAGGGACGCTCCAAAGGCAGGGCCTAGATGACCGTTCAGAGGAGCCGCAGCCGAGTTTGGTCCTGGAGAGACTGTCAGGCCGCCGGAACCCAGGCGAGTCCCGGTCTGGCGGGGACGCCCACGGAGCAAGCTGCCTGCAGGGGGCGCGCCGGCTCTCCGCGCGGGCAGCGGCCGGGGCCGGAAGTGCCAAGGCCGCGCGGGGCGGGGCGGGAAGCCCCGGCGGGCGGGACTGAGCTCCGCCCTGCCCCCTTGCCCCGAGTACCCTGGCAGCGAGCGAGCGAGCGTGCGGGCGGCCTCCTTCCCGCGGTCAGCCAGGCGCCGCGTGCAGGTCCACGTGCCTCCCCTCCACTCTCGCCCCCGCAGGTTGGCACTCGTCCCGTCGCGTCCGGGGCGGCCGGGGCAGTGCAGGGTCCCTGAGGCAGCGGCGGGCGGTGGCTTTGTGGGGGGGTGGGGTGCCGGGCGCATCCCGAGCGTGCGGGGCTGGGTTTCCCCAGGTAGCGCGGGCTCCTTCTGGCTTCCCGGCCCTCCCCGCCGTGCCTCTGCGCTCCTTGGAACCTCGGCCCGGTGGCAGGGTGGCGTCGGTTAGGCGCAGGGTTTGGCGTGCAGGACCCGGCTGCGAGCCCTGGCTGGCCATTTCAGACTTCTTTGAAACCTTGTGCACATGCAGTCAGTTCCTCGTTTGTAAAATGGGCTTGATAATACCCGCCTTGGGGTCGAATGGATGTCGGGATGTCTGGCGGTTAGCAGTGCTCCTTAGTTGTGGGAATGACTATTACCGTTGCCTGAATTCTGACAGCAGCGAGGTGCGTTGGCCAAGGTCTGTCCTCTGGCCAGACAGGTTAGGATGACGTTCTGCTCATTTTTAAGTTGTAATCAGCCTTCTAGATGAACAATAAATGATTATGATTCAGAGAGGGATCCCTTATTTGTGGCTGACCCTTTTTTGAGGCAAACTCTATTCCAGTAAGGTCCTCCCTAGGCGGAGCCCTGAGCTGCTTTCAGGGTTGGCCGGCAAGTGGAAGGGTTCGACTTGTACCCTTTGAGCCCCAGGGTGGGGACTGAGCTTTAGGGGGAGGGGAGAAGAGAGACCGTTAGATGAGAGGCTGCCCTTGGGTCTTCGGGATTCTCCCATTCGGGAGCCAGCTAAAATCTGGCCAGTCAGAAGTATCTTCGGATTAAGGGAGGGGGTGTTGGTTGGTTGATTCAACCTTCCCACAGATCAAAATGGACTTGGGGTTCTCTGTAACCACACCAAGGTAGAGGAAATGAAAAGTCTGGATTTGGGGAGATGAGGGAGAGATAGGTTAAGGGTAGGAGAGGCAGGGCACCCTGGGGACAGCAAGCATCTTGGACGGTAGGAAGAAGGAGAGTGGCCCATCTTAGTCTCCTGGGCCCTGCTCTTTGCCCTGCTAACCTGTGGCCTGTCCTGACCAGTAATTACAGCGGATGACTGGAAGTATTCTAACTTCTTAGAATTCACTGGACTTTGTTCTTTGTAGGAATTGCAGGGTGACGCCCATGCAGTGTGACACACAGACCTGTAATTCCTGGTGTGATGAGAGTGGAGTTTTGCGTCCTGAATTCGAAACACAAGTCATTAAGCCTGGGCCCTGACTCATCTTCAGGAGAGAAAAGAGAGATGGGAGATAAAAGGAGGGTCCTTCCCACATGGATGACAGCCCAGGAGGCCGAGAAGAGAAAGGTGGCAGTGAAGACCCCCAAGGGGAGGAGACCGGCAGCTCAAGGGGGCGCCGCAGCGAGGTGGGACAACTTCCGGCTGGGGTTCCCGAGAAATCAGGAGAAGGGAGGGCTTGGGGACATCACAGTTGCTGGGGCTGAGCCTTTGGTGCTGGTGGAGCAGGGAGGTGCGTGGGTGTTTCAGCCTGGCAGAAACCTCTTCAGCTCGCAGGTGCCCGGTCTGGGGTGGGTGAAGTGAGCCCCCCCCACAGGCCCCGGCTCTGCGGGTGCCTCTCCCCGGCCAGGCCCTCCAGGCTCAGCTCCCAGGCAGTGCTCCCCTCTGGTGTGTACACGGTAGCCAAGTGCTCAGAGATGCCAGTTGTCCAAAATGCCACTTTCTTCATTTGCACCAAAAATTGTGACCCTCCAGTGGTCAAGCTGAGTGGACCAGGGTCCAGTCTCCCGTGGGCGGATCTTCAAGGACAGACAGAGGAGCAGTCACTGGGCTGGTGTGCAGTCAGACGCTGTGGGGGCAGCTAGTTGAATGGTGGTAATTTGGGGGAGCCTTCAGGCTCCCGGGGAGGAGAGGTCCCTGCAATCTCCTAGATGGGGCACTACATCCCCCCCTCTTTGGCTTTTCCTTTTCTGGGTTGTCCTAACTGACTTACCTCCCTTCTGACTTGCGGTCCTATTCTCCTGTGCTCATGGGTGGAGGTGGGGGTCAGTCATGTCTTGGCCTGATGATCGGTTTGGTCAGCTGGTGTCCATTTTGTCGGGGCACTGGCTGTCCGGAACTGGCCATCATGCCCTCCTTTCAGATTGGAAGGCGGCAGCGGGTGGGGAGGCCTAGGGACGGGACTCTTTCATGATCTTCCCTGTCGTGAGACCTGAGACCCATGCATCCCCATCCTAGCATCACGCCTTCCTTTCAGACTTGCCACAGCGAGGACCGTGTACTGCATGAATGAAGCTGAAATGGTAGACGTCGCTCTGGGGATCCTGGTTGAGGTAAAGTCAACTGTGTCTCTTCTTACTCTTGGGACCAGAAACTGGACTGGGCCCTGGTGAGAGGCAATAGAAGAGACGTCCTGCATTCGCAGGCGGCCTTGGGGACCCCTATCATCTGTCATCCCATTTCTCCCACCTGGCCCTTTTCTAGCACTTCTCTCAAGGTCGCGCTCCCCGTGGCCTCTCCCGATGTGAGGTGGGACTTAATGTTTGGGGCTGGACACCTGGGGAGGGAGCAGCCGTGGGAGGGAGAGCCACTGTCTCTGGGCTGACTGTGCTGGTGTGTGGAGGGGACGGGAAGTCTCGAACTGCTTATGTTCTCTGCAGGGTCTCAGTTGGGTGAGGTGACTTCGTACCGTTGTACTTCTCCTTAGCCCACGGCCACCCACATCTCCTGGCTTCTGAGGCAAATAGTAATTGTAGCACCTTAGTATTGTTGACAGGGTACTTTTGTATGTTATTGTCTCATTTAATCCTTGCCGTCACCTGGTGACCATTATTTCAGATATTATCCCCATTTTACAGATAACGAAATTGAGACCCAGGGATTTCCCCTTAGTTACACAGCCAATAAATGACAGAGCTCATGCCCACACTCAAGTTTTGTATCCCCTGCTCTTTCCATTCTGTCACCCCTGCCTTTCCAGATGTTTTTCCTGTTTTTCTTTTCCACTCTGGTATTCCTTAGGCCCCTGCCCACGTCTCCCACATTGGTCTGGACTTGTACAGGAGCTGTGAGGGCCGGGAGGAGAGGCTCTGATGGGGGAGCAGTGCCTGACCTGGTCACACGCTGGCTTCACAGTGGCTTCTGCCTCGCCGATGGATAAACCCGCACGTTCACTCGGGAAATAACATAATGTCTGTTTTGCCTGTCTTATCTCCTACTCCCGCAGGCCCGGAAACAGGAAGAGCCCCTGGAGTCTCCAACTCTGGTGGGCGCTGATAAGCCAGAGCTGTCCCCAATCCGCTCAGCGTCGTCACCAGGATCTCCTGGGAGTAGAAGTGAGGATGAGGACATTGGGAAAGACGCCCTTCCTCCAGGCCTCAGCCCTCCTCAGGGGCCCCCAGGGTCTGAGTCTGCGTGCAGCGGGAGCCCTGAGGAGGATGAGGACATGTTAAAATACGTCAGAGAAATATTTTTCAGCTAAGGGACAGACTCCCCAGGACTTTTACACAGGACGCTAGAGGAAGCTGGCTTCCCCTCCGGGCCCCGGACCTGCCCAAGGATGCCGACCCCGCCCAGTCCTCCCCTCCCTGGGCTGGCAGATGCACCACGGAGGGAAGCCCAGGAGGCTCTGGGCCTTGGGACCTGTCACGCCGAGTATGTGGAAATGAAGAGCCAAAATGAGCTTCTGTTAGAATTTCTCTCTGCACTGAGCCTCCTCTGCTCGGAAGGTCTGGCTTTATTCACTTCCCTGGTTCAGGGAAAGGTGGACATGGGGGTCACACTTATTGGAACCAAAGAGTCAACTTAATAACTTTGAAAGAAGAAAGAGTACGGCTGCTAAGTTCACAGGAAGCCTGACCGTTTCGTCAGTGTGATCTCTCCCTGCAGAGGAAGCTTGTTCTAAACCGAGTTCCCCTCACCTGTGCAGCCCGGGAGGCAGGTGACCCGCCCGCAGTGCCCTGCTCTGCCTGGCTCTGGACTGGAAGGCCTCTGCCCCCCGTGCCGCCTCCTTCCTTCTACTCGGCGGCTCAGCCTCGGCCCCCGGGCAGTTGTGAAGCGAGTGGCCCGGGAGTCCAGGGAGACAGCGGACCAGATCCCGCCAGAGTCTGCATTTCTGTCTCTGTTCAGGGTGGCTCCGGACAGGCATGGAATGGGGCTGTCGTTCGCTGTCCGGGTTTTCTGATATGCAGATGCGGAGAAATACAGTCCCCCAAGGCGAAGGTTGTGCTTTTATCCTTTGCAGTTCCCGGTGGAGGAGTGAAGAGGGAGGTGCAGCCTCTGTACGTCAGGCGGCTCCGTGCGCCGTCCTCTCCTGCCCTGGGATCTGGCGCATTCTGTTCCCGACTCCCAGGGCACGTGCGAGGAATGATTTGCCCGCTGCCGCCCCTGCGGCGTCCGGCCTCAGGTCCAGGAGCCTTTCCAGGAGAGCCCTCAAAGCCTCCGAGGCTTCTGTTTGTGCCCACGGGTTCTGTCTGTGCTGAATCCCTTGAGGGGTCCCTCTTGGGCCTTCGGGAGTGGTATTGGGAGAGGGGCTCTGCACGTCACACCCACCCCGGGAGGGAGAGCTTGCTAACCAGGGCCCCAAGGGACACTGAGGCACACTCTCTCTCTCATAATGTTCCCCATTTGTTGACATAAACCTTTCCTGGGTTCTAGTTTGATATATGGCCAATTATCCTGGCAATCAGGCCTCGTGAGGGCAATCCTCTCCCTGTCCTCCTGAGGACAAAGTAAGAAAGGCTTGCTCAGATCAGTGCGTTAGAGCAGGAGTTCTCTGGACAAGGAGCTACATGGTCTGGGGTGTCCTTGGAAACCTCAGAAGTCCCACAGGAAGGACAACCCTGCACAAAGGTTGTCCCACCATTGCTGCCTCCTGGCCTTCTGGACACTGGGCACCCCCCTTTCTCTGGGGTGGGGCCCATCTGCTAGGGCTTGAAATCAGCATTCCCTATGAAACAGGCTGAGAAGACATACTAGCACCTCAATTTTCTGGCACTTTCTCTGAGCATGGTTCAAACTGAACTCTTGGAATCATGTAAGCCTTTAGATAGAACTAGAAGCTGTCCAGCTTGCTCTTGTCCTCCGCCCTCTGAGGGAACATGACCGTGGCCATAAGCAAGAGGACAAGTAAGGCCAGGGCAGTGCCCAGAGCTAAAAACCCAGGCCCCAGGAGGGAGAGCCTGAGCCACTTCCAGGTGTAGGTGAGGAAGAGGCCCAGGCCACTGGCCAGCAGCAGAGAGGACATGGCCAGGAAGCCCACCGCCAGCTGCCACTCTCCCTCGCTGCTGTTACACCGGGCCAGGAAGAGAGGCAGGGGGACAAAGAGCGTGAGGACCAGGGCCCCGTACACACCCAGCCTGGCCAGGGCCAGGCCTACCCGCGGCACGCCCAGGGCCTCCAGCTCAGGGAACTGGTGGCACCGCAGTGAGCCAGTGCCCTCATCCCACAGGCAGAAGTTGTAGAAGCCGATCCTGAGGTTGGGCAAGTCTGCGAGGTTGCCGGCCTTCCAGAGCAGAGCGTAGAACAGCAAGGAGATGACCGCCGCCGCGACGGCCATGAGGCCCAGGAACAGCAGCTGCTCACTCCGCCTTGGCCCAGGGACGGTCATTTTCTCCTGCCCTTCGCGCGGCCGCCTTCCTGTGACCTGAGGAAAGTCATATCTGTCAGTGCCCAGTCTCCTTCCCAGCGTCCTCACAAGCTCACGTTCTCCCTTCTGGAATTCCGTAAACACCTATGGCAACCTTCCTTCCAACCCCAGCGGGAACAAGAAGTTGGAGGGAGCCTCCAGGTAGGACCCACTTGGTGAGTCCTCAGCGGCCTCCCTGGGCCGAGCTCAGGGTAAGCCCCCCCCCCCACCCGCTGGGCAGCTGGGAGGGCCTGACACGGGCTCACTGAGGCCCTCTGAACAGGGGCTTCGCTGTACTTCTGACACCACAAGCCACTGGAAACATCTGTGAGGGAGTTTCTCAGATCCTGACGAGGGAGGGCTTAGTGGGGGTGAAGGAGAAGCCAATGGGTCCTTGGGGGCCTGAAGGGGGACAGGCACAGGGATCCACGGTTCTCAGGGTGACAGCGGCACCACCGGGAGCTGGAAGAACCACCACCAGTGGGACCCCAACCAGGGCAATCAGAACTTCTGAGGCTGGGGCCAGGCACTGACTGTTCTGGAAGCTCTACAGCGTGCCCTCATGTGAGCTAGGGTTGAGGAGCCCTGCTCTACTGTCCTCTGAGCCCACCAGCCCTGCGCTGGGAGTCAGGACGCGTGAAGACAAGAGGCTACCTGGTAATGCAATCACACGTACTCCCTACTTTCTAAAGTGTCTACCATTTTTTCCTGACAACAGTAATTATAAAAATCTTAGAAAATAATTTTTAAAAAGAAAAAATATAAAAAATAACATTTTATCTCACCACATACATAGAAGCACTGTTAATTTTCTACCAATATTTTGTTTCCTCTGTGCTGGTATATTTTTAAAATAATCATACGGTTGACCATAATGATCTTCTCACTGAATACTGTGAACCTGCTTTCAAAGCTGTTAAATAGTCCTCAAAAACATGACTAATGGCTGCGTATTAACTCCTGTCATAGATTTATCCGTGCCCCTATCAGACAACTTGTTTCCATTTTTCACTGTTACAAGTGACAGGGAAGATGCTTGTAGGATTCTGGTTTTTCCTTAGGCTAGATCTCCAAAAGTACGGTCCCTGAGTCAAAGGCAGCAATATTTTTTAGTGATTTTATTGCCCAACTGACCTGCAGAAAACTTAAATGTAATATACACCTTCCTCATCGTGTTTGAAAAACTTTTTCAAACAGTGTTTACCTCAAAGGAACCCTCCAAATTGGCCTCTACAGCAGTCGTCTGCATATAATACCTTTGTGTTCGCAAACCTTCCACTTCAGAATGGCGGCCCAGAGCTCTGGAACTCAGTGCTGCTGGCCTTAGAAGACACCAGGTGCTGGGGACAAACCAGAGTGACATCCAGCGCCAGGGACACTGGTGCAGCCGGAGGGTAGCGTCTGGAGGGTCCCTGGGGAGGAGCAGCCCCTCCCTCTTTCCCACAGCTGACTGGAAGGAAGGGGTGTCTGACCGCATCCCTTATTTGTTTTGCAAGAACAGAAAGTGCCCAGAGGGAGAGAAAGGACACGTACTTGGGAACAGGATATGGGGCCGGCCTGAGGGAGGGGGGCTGTCCTCGTGTCCCTGGGCCACTGCGCCAGACACCACAGACTGGGCAGCTTAGAAACAGCAGACTCGGCTCTGGAGGCTGGGACGTCCGAGATGTAGGTACTGGCTGATTTGGTGGCTGGTCAGCCCACCTCCTGGTTCATAGACGGACATCTTTGGCTGTGTCCTCAAAGGACAGAAGGGACAAGAGAGCTCTCTGGGGGCTCTTGATTTTCTTTGGGGGGCCTCTTTCACGAGGGCTCTGCTGTGAACCTAATCACCTCCCAGAGGCCTCACCTGATACCATCACACCGAGCTTAGGCTCCAACGTATGAATCTGGAAGGTCACAATCATTCACTCTAGCAGGTGGCTGCATTCAGAGGACAAACACGGAGAATAAAGATTTATCAGCCACTCCTTTGGCAGAGAACGGGGGACACTGCCTGGGGGTGAAGCTGGGGCCCATTAGAACAGAGACATCAATCTGTGTGGGCAATGAGGTTTTGAGCCTGTGAGGACCTGCACACAGGCCCCTGCTCGGAGCTCGGAGATGGGAGAGCGACGGGCTATCCCCGAGGAGGCCCCCTACATCCGTAGTGTGTACTGACCGGAGTCTTGGGAGGCCTGAATTAATGAAAACAGGAGGTCGAGGCCCTGTTTGAATACGGCTGGAGCTTTGTGCTTGCGACAGCAAGACTTACCAGGTATGATAAAGATGTCTTTGGGCCCTGTGTTGTAAGATTAGCATAATGGGGGTTCTAACCAGTCTGGTCTGTGGTGCAGGGGGGTGGGGGGTGTGGGACAGGGGGAGGTAGGGAATCCCCAGCAGGAGGGTGTTTGGTATGGTTTTGGATATTTAACAAATGCTTGTAAAAACCTGTACCTGTGTTTTTAGTGGGTTTAGGTATCAGGGTGTGGAGAGAATTTCCAGGGCTGGAACCGCGATTTGAACAAGTGTGCTGAAGAAAGTGAGGTCGGACTTAACTCCGCTGCCCTGGACCCAGAGGTCGGGAGCAGGGATGGCTTCATATGAGTGCTCCCTCTTGCTGCCCCTGTTTCGGGCTTATTACACATGGGTTAAAAAAGAAATCGCTATTATTAAGCATTTTCGACCGGAAGACAGCCCCACCCCCTCCATGCCACAGGCTTGGCCTCCGGAAGGGATGGGAACGCCAGCCTGGCCTTTGTTTTTGATCTCTCTCTTCCTCAACTGCCCTTTGGTAGGTCCTCAGCCGAGAGAGAAACAAATCAAACTGCAGCTGGGAAGCCCAGAAGTGGGTCTGTGGAGAAGGTGGTCGCCCCCAGCTTCCCTTCTCCCCCCTTGAAAGGCACAGCGTTCAGTCGCAGCTCCTTTGCCTGGAGTTCGGGGTCACGGCCACCTGGTGCCACTCTGAACTTGCACTTCTCTCTGAGGGGGGCCTGCTCCCTGTGCTCTCCACCCTTGCTGTGCTCAGGCACCCCCCCACCCCACTGCTGAAGTCCAACCCTGCTTTCTGCCTCTAAATCCTACTGACACCTGCTCCCTCTAGTTTGCTCTCCGTTTTGTCCCCAGAATGTGGGGTGATACACACTAGGAACTTTTTTTTGAATGAATGAATGAATGAGGAAGGGAAGGAGGAAGGGCCCTGTGGCATCCTTTAGTAATCTCAGGCACGTGTTCTAACAAGCCAGCAAAGCTGCTTGAGGTAAGGGGCAGGCTGTGTTTGGTGTCTCGGCCACACTGCGCAGTGCTGTGTCCTGTGTCCTATGGGACACCTGGACAGGCTTCAGGACCTCGTGGACTAAGGGTGGAAGCTGGTCCTAGCTTCTTTGTCTAAATGTCTCAAAGTGAACGCAGATGGATGTTCGGCTGGAAAAGCCCGTGGCCCTCTCCTCTGTTGTGCCAGCAGCCCACCCTGGCTTTTTTGGCCTTTAACGATCCTAGCAGTCATGTTCTCGCCACCATGAACTTTTTCATTCCCTTTCACAGTAAGCCTTGCTTCCTTCAGAGGGGAACCCGGCAGACTGCTGAGTCACTGCTGTCCTTTTTTAGCTGAACTTTTCCCCCGTTTATAATAAAGCAATAGATGCCAATCGTAGAAAACTAGAAAAATATGCAAATGACTAAAAATCACCTGTAACTTCGGGTTGAAGAAACAACTACTCTTTTTTTTTTTTTAAGATTTTATTTATTTATTTGACAGAGATTACAAGTAGGCAGAGAGGCAGGCAGAGAGAGAGGGGAAAGCAGGCTCCCTGCTGAGCAGAGAGCCCGATGCGGGGCTTGATCCCAGGACCCTGAGATCATGACCTGAGCTGAAGGCAGAGGCTTTAACCCACTGAGCCACCCAGGCGCCCCAAGAAACAACTACTCTTAACAACACATTTCCTTCCATAACACTGTTTTACACAGTTGGGCTTGCGTAAATATGTTTGTATCCTGCTTCGCAAACACCATGATAGCGCGAGGACATCTGTGTAGGTCACGTTGTTCGACATTATTTTGTCAGACTAGAACTAATGCTGAGGTGAATGTGGTTGAACCACCACCTCCTGCCATGGGCACTTGCTTCTCAAGACCACCGAAATGTTCTCTCCTGAGTCGTAGAGTCAAAGGAAACCTTACAAACTGTCCTAGTCCCTTCGTCCCCTTTCACAGAGGAGGGTCGGTAGCTCTGGTCTCCATCTCCGGAGCATGCTTGGTCCCTGTCTGTGATCCGCTAAAGGACCAGCAGCTTCATCACTAGGGGACCCTGCTGCGTACCGACACTGACCCCACACTTACGGCTTCTCTGTTGTCCCTGCTCTACTCATGGCTTTCAGTATTCCATTTTCATCTTATGCCAATGATGGAGATTCCCACAAAACTCCCTTCTCCTCTATTTTGTCTTATATAAAAACAACCAAAAAGATCCACCCTCATCCTATTTTTTTTTTTTTCAATTCGTTCTTCCTGTCCACAGACTCATGACATCCAGTATGCAGGCCAGACCTTCCGCAGAGCTGGGGCTGAGGGCTCTCGCCATCTACACGATTCCCACCTGCGTGCCCCTGTCGCTCATGACACCCCGAGGGGGCCTCACTGAGCGAGCCTCACCGAGCTCCCCTGCATGTCTTTCATGCCCGATGACCGTTTGTCCGGCACCCGCAGGAGGTCTGTTCCACTCATTAGGTGTTCAGTGAGCCCTTGAAGTGTGGCCCACGGTGGGTCATCGGGAACCCACAGACAGCGGCCCCTCCAGGAGCATGTGCCCTGCACTCCGGGACCTCCGACTTCCTCCCCCAGGAACACTAACCTCTGCTCTCCCTGGGGGGCTGTACGTCTTCTGGAACGGGCTACGAGGGGTAACTTTGCTACCAAGGGTGCCGCCTTTCGTGGCAACATGAACAATTACCTGGCCTTCTTCCTGCTCCTTTAGGAACCGGACCTCTCCTATTAGTCTTGCTCCCTCCCCACTTCCCCCCACCGCCCCCCAGCTTCCACCACGGTGGCTTCTGCTGTATTTTCCAAGAACTTGAGGCAAGTCAGGGCTCTGGCACTTGCTAGTCCCTCTGCCTGGAATGCTCTTCTGTTGTCACAGGTCTCCCTCCCTTGCCTCCCTTGGGTCTCTGTGCTCCAGTGTTCCTTTCTCAGGGAGGCCAGACCATCCCCCACTCCTTGCACCTTCACCTTGACTGCCCCCCACCCACAGCAGCCTCTGGTGCTCCCCGGGCCCCTTTCCCACTCTCTCTGCAGCTTTTTACCCTCTCCCATTCTCAACCTTTTCTTGTCGTAGCCCCCACAACCCCCACTCGGATGTAAACTCCATGAGGACCAGGACTTATCTCCCGCTCATTTTCATGTATCTCTAGTTAGCTGGCTGGCTGTTTATCTACCAAAAATCTATCTTTCACTGTTATGTCCCCAACCCCCAGGGCCACCAGGCACAAGGCAGGCACTCAGTGTCTGAGTGACATGTGAATGGCTTAATGGACTTAGGCAACAGCACGCAGAGTTGATCAAACTCCCGGCTGTGTTTACTTTTCCTGCCCACTTCTCTGTCCTGGTTCTCCTCCTTCTGGCCCTTTTATTCTTCCCATTTTCTAAATGTGGGCTCTCTACAAGAATGTCCTCTCTTTCTCAAATAGGTTTCTGAGCCACCAGCTTCCAGAGCTGAACACGGAGAGGAGGACGCACGAGATGTGGGCACAGCTGGGGTCAAGGGCAGTGGCCCCTGCCCCCCACCCCCACCAGGCACAGCCAGAGCCAACGGGACTGCCCGGTAGAACCTGGATGGTATCACTTTGTTGTCTGAACAGAAGCTTGAAAGAGAAAACAGGTGGGTTACTAGGTGGTTATCAGTTACAAATTCACCTCCCGGCCTTCCTGTTCATTAATGATTTAAGAAAGCTGGAAATGTGTCCTATTTCCTTTGGCAGAGATATGAGCAAGCAGAGCTTGCCCTGAGAATTCTCTCTGGTCAGTGGAAGACGTCGAGCAAGCAATCTAATTTGGCTGAGACCTTACTCGTAGTTAGAAACAGACCAGCATCTCGCGGGCTTTTACTCCGTGCGAGCATGGGGAAAGGACTACTTTATTAAGTTCTCACAAGAACCCTGGGGGAGCCGCTCTATGGTTCTTATCTCCGTTTTCCAGAGGAGAACCTGAGGCTCAGTAAAGGTCAGGCACTTCCCCACTTCCCCACAGCAGGTGGATGGTGACATCTGTCAGGCAGGTTGGTCGTCATCACTATGGAACCTGCCTCCACCCAGCCCCGCACGAGCCTGCTGAGGCCTGGGGCGCACCGTTGTCCATATTTGTCCTTCACGTAGAGGAGACAACGTGGGCTAAGGCTTCTGGGCACAGATGTGGCAGCTGTGTGTCCTGGGTTCAAATCCCAGGCTGACCGCTTACCATCTGTATTACTTAACATCCCAGGGCCCGGTGTTCTCATCTGGAAAATGGATCTACTAGAACTTATTTTGTAGATGTTATAGGAATTAAATGAGGTGAATTTATCTTCAGCATGTGGAACATTACCTAGTAAGTACTATTTAAATTATTATTACCAGAGAGAGGAAATGGAAACTCCTAGAAGTTAAGCCCAGAGCACCACAGCCCGGCAGCGGTCAGATGCTAGAGGAGACAGAAGCCAGAGCTCCCCCGGAGGACCTGCAGTCCTGGAAGGGTCTTCAGCAACGTCTGATGCAGATGCTGTGTCACACAGGGACGGGGAGGTGAAGGGCAGACGACGTAGAGCCGGCCCACCCGGGCTCAGGTCTGGGAGCTTGGGCCTGTGGT